AAGTCAGAGTGCATCCGTCTGAGAGGCAAGGAACCAACAGTTTGCATGTAAATAAGACAGTTCTGTAAAACAGATGTGCACACAAAACTCAAGTTCTGAATCAAGACCAAAGTCCAAGAGTGGTCGACCTGTAAAACAGATGTGCACACAAAACTCAAGTTCTGAATCAAGACCAAAGTCCAAGAGTGGTCGACCTGTAAAACAGATGTGCACACAAAACTCAAGTTCTGAATCAAGACCAAAGTCCAAGAGTGGTCGACCTGTAAAACAGATGTGCACACAAAACTCAAGTTCTGAATCAAGACCAAAGTCCAAGAGTGGTCGACCTGTAAAACAGATGTGCACACAAAACTCAAGTTCTGAATCAAGACCAAAGTCCAAGAGTGGTCGACCTGTAAAACAGATGTGCACACAAAACTCAAGTTCTGAATCAAGACCAAAGTCCAAGAGTGGTCGACCTGTAAAACAGATGTGCACACAAAACTCAAGTTCTGAATCAAGACCAAAGTCCAAGAGTGGTCGACCTGTAAAACAGATGTGCACACAAAACTCAAGTTCTGAATCAAGACCAAAGTCCAAGAGTGCTCGACCTGTATAACAGATGTGCACACAAAACTCAAGTTCTGAATCAAGACCAAAGTCCAAGAGTGGTCGACCTGTAAAACAGATGTGCACACAAAACTCAAGTTCTGAATCAAGACCAAAGTCCAAGAGTGGTCGACCTGTAAAACAGATGTGCACACAAAACTCAAGTTCTGAATCAAGACCAAAGTCCAAGAGTGGTCGACCTGTAAAACAGATGTGCACACAAAATTCAAGTTCTGAATCAAGACCAAAGTCCAAGAGTGGTCGACCTGTAAAACAGATGTGCACACAAAACTCAAGTTCTGAATCAAGACCAAAGTCCAAGAGTGGTCGACCTGTAAAACAGATGTGCACACAAAACTCAAGTTCTGAATCAAGACCAAAGTCCAAGAGTGGTCGACCTGTAAAACAGATGTGCACACAAAACTCAAGTTCTGAATCAAGACCAAAGTCCAAGAGTGGTCGACCTGTAAAACAGATGTGCACACAAAACTCAAGTTCTGAATCAAGACCAAAGTCCAAGAGTGGTCGACCTGTAAAACAGATGTGCACACAAAACTCAAGTTCTGAATCAAGACCAAAGTCCAAGAGTGGTCGACCTGTAAAACAGATGTGCACACAAAACTCAAGTTCTGAATCAAGACCAAAGTCCAAGAGTGGTCGACCTGTATAACAGATGTGCACACAAAACTCAAGTTCTGAATCAAGACCAAAGTCCAAGAGTGGTCGACCTGTAAAACAGATGTGCACACAAAACTCAAGTTCTGAATCAAGACCAAAGTCCAAGAGTGGTCGACCTGTAAAACAGATGTGCACACAAAACTCAAGTTCTGAATCAAGACCAAAGTCCAAGAGTGGTCGACCTGTAAAACAGATGTGCACACAAAACTCAAGTTCTGAATCAAGACCAAAGTCCAAGAGTGGTCGACCTGTAAAACAGATGTGCACAAAAAACTCAAGTTCTGAATCAAGACCAAAGTCCAAGAGTGGTCGACCTGTAAAACAGATGTGCACACAAAAGTCAAGTTCTAGATGAAGACCAAAGTCGAGGAGTGGGTGAACAACCAGAACTGTCCGTTGAAGTTTACAGCTTGTGAATGCTAAGAAGATGAAAAAGACATTTATGGGGCACTGGTCCCAATGTCAGATCTGTAGCTTCTCTTGTGATGAACGGATTAAAATGGAACTGGGATTACAGTTAACCCAGCCTGAAACAGGTACAAGGAAATATGGGAAGCGAAGGCAGCTGACTTCTGCATGCCATGTTTGGTGTAAAACAATTAAGTTAATAGTGGCTGCCAGAATAGAGCACACTTGCCTGCCAGCATGGTAGTTGTAGGTTCAAATCACCTTTGAGATGGGTTTTCAAATTTGAATTCAGCCTTAAATGGGTACCAGAAAATGAGATGCTACTGAGTGCCAAAAGGTCTATAAGAACATGCAACTGAAAGATTTAAAGTTTGTAAATGTGATCTTTTGTCCAAAAATCGCCTAGAAATTTACAAAGCAAATCTGTTATTTCTTGTTCAGATACCTTATTAATCGTGTGATGATTTGCGTATATGTGGATATAATCAAGATATCTGTTGGTATAATCAAGACACCTGCAGGTTATATATGTTTGCAGTTTAAAATCTGCCTGCGATAACAAAAAAATATTTTTATTTTTAAATCTGTTGTTACCTTTTATGTGGCCTAGAGGGTAGTGAATCTATTTCACTGTCTCTGACGTACAAGACAATCTACATTCTCAGGTTATGTGATGAGGAGGAGAAATCTGGAGTACGTTATAACAGTAGGAAAGTTGGAGGGAAAGAGAGACAGAGGGAGGCTGAGAGAAAAGATGCTGGGCAGTTTGACATACTGGCATGAAGGATCATTTGCATCAGAGTTGATTGAAAGTACACGAGACAGAAGGTTGCAGATAGACATGACTACAATGCCATGTGGCATCAACTTTAAAAAGGAGAATATGTACCAAGTTCTGATGTTAATGTTAGGCACTTTAGAGGAATAATTTCTCATAGTTTTCAGATTGTGGTATGAGAGTCACACTGTGGAAAAGACTGGGGTCTCACCTCATAATGTGGAGGTACTATCCACTGCAGCTAACCTTTAATACAGAGAAAGGCCACATATGTTTACATAATTTAACATGTTTTCCAGACTGTGATGATATTTACCATTAATATCACATTTTTAAAGTTATACTGAAATAGAACATTTTACAACTGTTAATTGTCGATATACATACGAAAATACTGCAAATGAGCTGTAAAATAAATTTCCCACTGTATTTGTCTCTTCTGTTCTTCGTTCTTATTTGCTACATACAATGACAACCTGCTTGTATATCCACGTAAAGAAGGTTAAGTACGATTTTAGAAAAAATACTTTCTACCCATTCAGAATGCATACTATCTGTTGCGATTTTCTGAAACATGTTCGTAGAGTCTGATCATCATCATGTAGAAGGTCCTTTGCAGAACGTCGCTCTCATCACAGTCTGCCAGATAGAAAAAACTCAGTCTCTCACCAGTTCTCCCGCCTCATGTACTTTAATTCTCAAGGAGTCATTTATATCCTGTGCCAATCTCCGTGTCGGTCGGCCACTGCCCCTCCTTCCTGGTACCATGCCTTCTGCTATAATTTTTTTCCAGTGTGGCGCTTGATATGACCAAAATATTTCAGCTTCTGAGAAAGGATGCTGTTTATTAGCCAATCTTCCTTGATGTTCAGATCTTTTAAGATGTCAATATTTTTCCTCTTCTTTAGAGTCTGATACCATTACTAAATGTGTGGACTTATTGTTCTGAAGCCCATGCAGCTTTGGAGGCAGCAGTTATCTCCATGTATGGAAACCTTGCATGATGACAAGAACACTGTGACTTCCTAATCACACTTGCATCACCAAAGACTCATGCGCCCATATAGACAAAATAACACTAATCATCTGGAAAGAAAGCAAGAAAGATGATACCAAACAAAACAAATCCATCCCCAACTAGTTGCAAGTTTTCTACCTTGCATGGAAACCTTGCCTGTTAAGAACATGTTGGTTTTGTTGGTCGTGTTTTTAAATGAGCTTTTTATACATTTTTTTACATGGTGAGAGTCTATGTTAGAAATGTTTGAAACTGCACTAAAATAGAATAAAATGTTTAAAATGTGTAGTTTTGTTGTTGTCTTCTTCTTCCTTTTAAGTCGATGCAAACACTTTGTAAAGCTGGGATGCCAAGTTCGATCCCAGCTGTGGGTCATGCGCTGGTTTCAACAGTGGTATCAAGAAAGCCGACCATCCAGAAAGCAATGGCAAACTACTAGATGTAAATTTGCCTAGAAAAACCACACAACAGCCAGGAGCTGTTGGGGTTGGTTCTGCACGTCCTGTAAAGGATACGCAACTAACCTAACCTAACCTTCCATTTATTCCCATCAACCAACTCAAGCCAACTTATAGATCTGTCATCTCTTTGATCATAAGTAAAGTATACAACACTCTTCTATACCTGGACAAAATAAATGTGAACATCATCATCATTCACCCAAGTAATTACAAAATGCAGTGAGGTTTTTATTCGTAAATGTATTGATTCATTTAAATCAGATGCATGTCAAAAAAACAACATATTTAATGTTTATATTATATTCTGTTTTACCGTTCTAAGTATTGCAAACCGTACCCAGTCAGACATTTTTCCAAAAATGACCTGGCTCCCATGTTGACCCAGTCTAAAATGGGTACCAGGTAAAATCCTGGAGAGTAAAGGCGGCAGGTGTGATGGTCACATCACCCAACAAGCGCTGACTGGTCTAAAAAAAAATTTAGGTCGAGGACTATAATGTGTACTTAAAAGGGGTGGAAAGGGGTCTTTTTTCTTTAAAATATTTGACACTAAAGCAAGACCTCCACACCTATGGGGGTCACTACAGTTGGCAGATAGGACCTTGCTTGTATGGGTCATCTGCAGGAGTCCATTGAGTGAAGTTTGTAATCGTTATTATCGTTCTTGTAGATAATAGTGACTTATTATCCTACCTATCTTAATCATCATCATCTTGTGACGTGTAATGTGAATGACATTAAAGTTTATGTGGCCTGTCACAAGTAGTCAGTGTTGACTCTTCAGGATAGTCACAATTGTATTTGATGGTGCTGTGCCAAGTGCGCCAGTTGTTATATTATGCAGGACTGTAGCACATCCATCAAGGAGAGATCCAGCGGCATGTTAGCATAGGCACCCTAGGCCTACATACCTGGTTGTTTACAGATACTAAGGAGTATCGATGTGAAAACATAGACATTTTATGAACTAACATAAATAAGTGCTCTGTACACCCATAGTATACACACAGGGGTTATACAAGAGTACAACACTATGAATGTATGATGCCTTTCCTTGGGACTCAAAGAATTATTGACAATCCTCAGGCTTGAAGTCTTCCGGATCTCTTTCTAAAAGTCTTTGTTTAACCCTGCTGGAATCTGCCACATACTGCAGCCTTATCTTATCCTTTCTGGACTTCAGCTGCTTGGTATCAAAATCCACCGTTGCTTCTGCCTTGTTTAGTAACTCACTTGGGTGCTTCCCCTTCTGGGCAATCACCTTCTTCATGAGATCATTATGTGGCAGATTATACACATTGGACATAAATTTTAGTCCCAGCGATGAGCCGACACTCTGGGTGTTATTTTCTGAAGACTGAGCAGAGTCCGAATCACTATTCTCATTGTCATTCACAACAAAATCAGGTGCTACAGAACCTTCGGCTTTAAGGACTGATGTTGCCTCAGGACTGTAGAACCCAGCATCAGTTGTGTTATTCATATTAGCTGCAAGTGGATCTGAAGGTTGAGGTACTAAATGCCTACCCCAATCTGACAACAGTTGGCTTCTCTGAAGGCTATTCTGAGACGGAACATAGTCAGGACCATAGTCAGCTATTTCAAACAGCTGATCCAATCGTGCTAAGTCCGTGTGCAACCCCTCCTTCACGAAAGTAATCGTAGGAATGCGGCCTAACACGTGGTAAGAAATCAAGATGCTCCTGTCAAAATAAAAAATAAAAATTATTGAAAGAACAATCCTGTTCAACTCTTCCCTTACCAACATGTGATTACTTTAACTCATATCACAAAAAGTTCTTTGTAAAGAAGTCACCATTTCAGTGCTTCTTCTTCTTAGCGTCCACTGGCTGTTAGCTCCGGTGATAAGTTCTGGCTGTTAGCTCCGGTGATAAGTTCTGGTTGTTAGCTCCGGTGATAAGCTCTGGCTGTTAGCTCCCGTGATAGGTTCTGGCTGTTAGCTCCTGTGATAAGTTCTGGCTGTTAGCTCCCGTGATAAGATCTGACTGTTAGCTCCGGTGATAAGTTCTGGCTGTTAGCTCTGGTGAAAAGTTCTGGCTGTTAGCTCTGGTGATAAGTTCTGGCTGTTAGCTCCTGTGATAAGTTTTGACTGTTAGCTCCCGTGATAAGTTCTGGCTGTTAGCTCCCGTGATAAGTTCTGGCTGTTAGCTCCCGTGATAAGTTGTTGGCCACACCTGGACATTGGTCCTGATCCAGAACTTGAGTTTTAAATGGAAATATTTTTTTTACAGATCTGGCTTATTTGTATGCATACTTATGTTTTTTGCCTCTCTCCGGCAGATGCACTCTGACTTTGAAGGAAAGACCCTCTATTTAGAAGAAAATTCTCTACTCCCCCATAACAACAAGCTACATGACAGTAGTATTTGTTTGTGCTACAGGTGCTTTAATTATGGCTTCTCTGAAGGTTGAACAGGGTATCTGGAATTGTCCCTTTGAACTGACATCCAAGATGTGACTCTCTGAGTCACAGGGGTGTAAAACCTTCAGGCAGCGGCTCTTAGAGAAAAACAGTTGGTCAGTCAGAAGGTAAGCTCTGCAATACAATGGAGAATTAGCATAATGGACTGGAAGGAAAGTCTAAATGCTAATCTTACACAGATATAAACAAACAGAAGTCAATCAACAAACTCAGCTTTCTAGAGAATTTACCAATCGATCAACAAACTCAGTTTTCTAGATGATTCACTAAACAATAAACAAACTCAGGAATCACAGATCCATCAACACAGGGAGTTTTCTAGAGGATTAACAAATCAATCAACAAACTCAGCTTCCCAGAGGAGTCACCAAACAATCAACAAACTTAGTTTTCTAGAGTATTCACCAATTAATCTGTTACAATGACATCAATACAGGTGAAAATATATATCAGGTAAAACATTTACCAAGTTCCAGTGGACCAAGAGATGAAGAAAAGATGCTGGCGTTGGATAGGACACATGTTGAGAAAACCTGAGAACAATCTAACTAGAATGTCTTTGCACTGAAACCCACAGGGGCACATAAATAAAGGCAGACCCCAAAAAAAAATCACACAGAGAAGAGAGCTAGAAAGTAAAATTAAAAAGACGAGGAGGACGTGCAGTGATTTGCATGCAACAGAGAAGGATAGAGCGATTTGGCATGAGTTAGTTGGAGACCTATGCTCCACTGGGTGACAGAAGGCAGAAGAAGAAAAAAGACATTTACCTGAAGAGAAATGTTACCTGAGTTTTCCCGCATGAGCATGTAATAAAGTTTCCACCTCCGCTGCATCAGTACGGTTGTTATCCCAGCAAACATGCACACCTTGAAAGCTAGGCAACATCTTCACCTGTTGAAAACAAAACCTCTGTAACACAATCTTCTTACAACTCTGTGTCGCCAATGTTGAAAGACAGTATCATCATCATGTGCCCTGCCAAATGGCGTAGGTGCTCATGCATCTCCAAAGATCACGATTTCTGGTTGCCTGAAACAGCTCTGTAGATGATATCCCTACATGCCATCGTTTTAGCCTATCCAGCATCATCTCTCTTGGTCTGCCTCTACCCCTTTTTTCCACTGATCTTTCCAGATGTCACAATGTTCTCCAATGTCTCTCTTCTCATTATGTGGCCAAAGAACAGTGTCTCTCTTTCTTATTGTTGCATATAGAGATCTACCTTCATTAGCTTCTTTCAAACAATCGTTGTTAGTTAATCTGGCTGTCCAAGGTATTCAAAACATTCATCTCAGAAACAACATAACAGACAAAAGACAGTAACATCAACTAATATGAGATTTATGGGAACAAATCTCAATATTTCAAGAAGAGTGAAGATCAGAAATGATAAAAATTGAAAGCCAGGTAAACACAGTTCCAGATTTCATTACAAAACAGCAAGTGAAATGGTTTGCCCATTTGCCAAAAGACAATGATAAACAGTGAGCAATGATAAACAGTGAGCAATGATAAACAGAGAGCAAATGATAAACAGCGAGCAATGATAAACAGCGAGCAAATGATAAACAGTGAGCAATGATAAACAGTGAGCAATGATAAACAGTGAACAATGATAAACAGTGAGCAATGATAAACAGTGAGCAATGATAAACAGATCAAGTGGGTATTAGAAGAGAGAATTGTATAAACAAAGGACAGATAATAACATACTCTATGGAAACCTCCACAAACGAAGATAAAAAATATTGTAACATTACCGCTGTTTTAACTTCATCTTATTGAGTTAGTTGCGTTGAGGACGTTGCAGAACCAACCCCAGCATTTTAAGCTGTTGTGGTTTTTCTATGAAAATTTACGTCCAGTAGTTTGCCATTGCTTTCTGGACGGTTGGCTTCTCGATACCACTGTTGAAACCAACGCAGGGCCCGCAGCTGGGATTGAACCCGGTACCCCGGCATTACGAAGCGCATTCACAACACCTAAGCCACAGACGCAGACTCATCTAATGTATCAAGGGGAAATACAAGAAATTGTGGAGAGAAAAACCATCAGTAAACACTTCCAAGACCTCATCAGGAAACTCAACAGAAAACAACATATAATAATTTTTCCATCTAAGAACAGGACACTGAAGACTCACAACCACATGCATAAAATAAAGACTGCACCATCCCCAGTGTACATGTCAGATGGGACTACAAACACCTGAACACATTCTGCAGCCCTGCCCACTATGCTTACAGCTACAAAGAGAAACCTGGCCCCAAGAGCAAAGCATACAAAGCAAGCAATGCGGAACCTTGGAGGACCTGCGACTGACAGGTCAGTTCATAGAGACAGACCACCTGACCTGAGAATATTCTTCTTCTTACGTTCACTCGAAACAGATTATCTAAATCTGCAATGCCGTCTCTAGTATGAACTTCACTTCTTTTGTAATTCACTCAGTGAACCACGAAGTTTGGCTTCAACTGATTTTCTTCTTGATATACCTGAGATATGAAACCAAACGGCAAGAATAAAATGATATTTCATCCTGATTCCACAAGATATAAGAGGATTGAAATGAGATGAGATAAGATTAATTTCAATTTTTGTATATATTTGTTTGCTACTGTATGCTGTTTATCTCCAACATTTATGTTGTCTTTTACAATCATTTTACTGTAAAGCTGATCGGTCACACAGCAAACAACTCTTCCTTCATGATTGGTCAGGTTACCAGCAGTGTTGCCAGCATGACCTGGCATATCAGCAGCAAGTCTCTAAGGGTTCCCCAAAGTTTCTCCTGGATGTCCCTTCCCTGAGGCCATATGTTTTCTCAGGTTTTGTTGTAAGGGGCATAACTGCAGAATATGCTCAGGTGTTTACAGTGTGGTTTGGCAGTGACATGCGGTGGATTGTGCAGTCTTCACTCTGGGCAAATAATTCATAACTGTAATTATTATCAATTTGTAAAGTTTAAAAAAAAAATTTTAAAGGATCCTTTTTACTGGGTACTTGATGACAGACCCACATCTTTCTTTCCTAGACCAGAAAATAGTGAAAATATGGGGATGACTGCAGTCAAGCTCACACAAAAGAATTTTAATTCCTTACGTCCTTCTTAGGACGTTATTTTTTGTTATTTGAAGCCTCACTCTGGCTTTTGCCAGGGGCCGCAATATAGGCAGATCATCAATATGGCCAAATGTCTGAACGCGGTTTCTGGGACCTCTCCACGGTGATCCTCATCCGCATGGTGGCACTTTGTGTCATTGGGTGTTTATCGCTTGTGTGATGTCCTGGTGGGGTAAAAAAGCCAAGCCAAGCCAAAATAATTTAAAAGAAATGCCACTGAAAAGCTTAACGAAATGGGGAAGCAGAAAAACGTGCAAAAAACAACACATTTAACGTTTCGGCTGGCAGCCTTTGTCAAGCATGAAGTGAACTACACAAAGGTAACAAAGAGCGCTTTTTTACCTTTGTAACCAGAACTTTCTGCCAGAGTTTACAGCTGGGTAACACTAAGAAGAAGACAATGATGATGTATTGGATTCAAACCAAAGCCCTTTAGGTCAGCAGGCAAGTCACTATGCTGCTCATAATAGACTTCATTATAAAATAGAAGATCGAATGGTTTGGTCAGTTAGTAGGAATGCAGCCAGAACAACTACCCAACACAGGCGCTACACATGAAAAGATCTGAAGTGAAAGTAAGAGGCTGCCCTAGAAGAATATGGATTGATGACATTAAAGAGCTTCCACACTGACATGGAATAATAACAGACATTGCTGCTCATGAAGCAATGGGCCGCAAACTGTTTCTCCCCACAAAGCTTAACAGCAGAAGTGGAAATTAATGATGATGATGATGATAAGAAAACACTGTAAACATATCACATACCGAAGTGATGGAGACTTGTTTGCTGAGTAACTCCTCCGATAGTTCCCCTGTGTTGATAATCTGAACAATTTTATCATACAGCACATGGCCAAGCTGCCTGGCACGGGTTGACTCGGTCCTCGACTCTCCCTGTTTATTCCTGGGCTCTTTTATATTAAATATTTCCAAAGGCTGAAAGAAATAACAAATTTACTGTGTTTTTAAGGCTCTATCTTCATATTTAAAAATGAGTAACTACGAACAACTGTCACTCTATTATTAGACTATTTGCACATACAAAGTACATAAACATAAGCTGTTTCACTTACCTTTCCTTGCTCAATGTTTATATCCATTTTCGGTTCACGTAATGTTTTTAAATCAAAAGGAAGCTTTCCTCTGTTACTCCTTTGGGTGCTAAGAGAGATATAAAGTTCTGCTTCTCGCTCTTCTGGTCACAGTGCCCGTAGAACCTCATGTTTTAGACTTTCTCTGATGTTATCTCTCTGCATCTTGTTCTTGGTCTACCTCTGCTCTATGTCCTTCTCCTCTTTTGGTGTAATCCTGGTATAGTATGGCATCACAAGGCATTCTCTCTTAAGGGGGCAAAACATTTGAATTGCTGTCTCTGTATGTATTTAGAACCGGTTCTATGCTTTTTATTTTAGAACCTCATTGTATCACTTCTGGCCATTCCAGCAGCACTTCTCAGACATCTCATTTGCATGGTTATTAATTTTCTTTAAAGAGAAGACTAAAATATGAATACCTGAATGGTTTAGCAACACAGATGGCGATGGACAAGAGCACAGACCTGATCCATGATTCTGATGATTATGTGGGATGGTGAACCATAACCACCTATGCTTATTAGTATGGTACATTGTGATGATGTTCTTTAAGAAGTTGTTTATACAGCTGAGACTATTAACAATCTAGTAAGGGTCTTTGGCAAAGTGATCGAGCCATTTACGTCAAACTCTGAAGGTCATAGTTTCATTTCCCAGACACATCGTTTAGATCATGAGTGTAGTCTTTATGGTTATCTCTGTGGATCATCGCCGGAGTTACAGATTTGATGCAGTGCTCTAGGCAGGTAGCTAACCATTGTGAAGAAAGGGACCGACACACACAGGATAAAACTCATTGTGATGAAGTTCAACATCTCGACATTAACTTTTAAATATACTAGTGATTCTACAAGTTACTTTCCCTGATCCTGGGGATCTGTTCTACTGTTGGCAGTTTCTTCAAGATTCTTTTTCTTGTTATCCCTCACTGGAGTATAGGAGCCATGTTGCCCTATCTTTTTGCCATCTCCTGTGGCTTTGTCCATGTTCTCTCACTCTCTATACAAAGCATATATATGTCTCCTCTCTATGTTTTCAGGTCTCCATCTGTTTATTTTGTCCTCTGGACTCAAGTAAAGAAATATTCTACTTTACTCATACATCTCGTACTCATACTAGTTCTAAATTCCCAATAGCAATTCTTGAGATTTTCCTCGATGAATGTAGACAGATTAATGATACAAACTTCCCACAGCTTTCTTTTGTTCTTCTTCTTCTTCTGCCCTTTTCCCCCAAACAGCACAGGCCCTCAATCAACTCACACCTTGTCGTCATATCCTTTGCTACTGTATGCAGTTCATCCCATGTCCTCCCTTTCTTTTGAACTTCATCCTCTAGTTCTTTCTCCATGTTTTCAGCTTTCTCAATACTGCTTTATGTATCTTCAAAGAGAATACACTGCTCACAGCTTGGCTGGCTGAGAATTTTTTGCTTATTTTGTAGACTTCGCCATGTGGTTAGTTGGAATTTATGGCTAAAGATTTTTTTTCAGGCGGAGGCAGCTAACCCCTCACCAACCTGCCTTAGTTGCCTCCTATGACATGCATTGCTAGATTGCTAACAACAACAAAATAAGAAGTAAAACTTACATCTGCTGCGAATGACTGATGCCACTTTTTCCTAAAAGTAAGAAAATTAGAAATGAAAGCATTTTAATGTTGGTAATGTGGGTAAACCTTGAGTCAATTTTCAAAAAAATTATTCAATCTTCTTTTTTTGTCAGTATTTGCTTTGTGCCACTAGACAAGTATCTGCTTTGTGCCACTAGACAAGTATCTGCTTTGTGCCACTAGACAAGTATCTGCTTTGTGCCACTAGACAAGTATCTGCTTTGTGCCACTAGACAAGTATCTGCTTTGTGCCAGAAGACAAGTGTCTGCTTTGTGTCACTAGACAAGTATCTGCTTTGTGCCACTAGACAAGTATCTGCTTTGTGCCACTAGACAGGTGTCTGCTTTGTGCCACTAGGCAAGTATCTGCTTTGTGCCACTAGACAAGTATCTGCTTTGTGCCACTAGACAAGAATTTGCTTTGTGCCACTAGACAAGAATTTGCTTTGTGCCACTAGACAGGTATCTGCTTTGTGCCACTAGACAGGTCTCTAATTTGTGCCACTAGACAAGTATCTGCTTTGTACCACTAGACAAGTATCTGCTTTGTGCTTAGACAAGTATCTGCTTTGTACCACTAGACAAGTATCTGCTTTGTGCCACTAGACAAGTATTTGCTTTGTGCCACTTGACAAGTATCTGCTTTGTGCCACTAGACAAGTATCTGCTTTGTGCCACTAGACATCATAGTTTAAGAGATATCAGCAGCTGAGTCAGGGTGTGCTCAGTTGTTATATTTTCCCAGTGTTGATTTTCATATTTCTGCGGTAGCTGTCAAGTAGCTGGTCTATGTGGTCCTATAGCTGAATACTTTTAATTGGTAATTGTCGTTGGGCATCAGCAAAGTCTTCTTGTTCATTGACACCTAGTGGTATTATGTCTATTTTGTTGACAGTGTCTGTGTATATTATTAAAAAGCAAAGACAGATGAAGTTCATGGTGGGTTCTTTGCAAAAGTGAACAGAGTTGCATAGTGCAACAGAGCCTGGGATATGACACCAGAACATTTAGTTTGAGAATGGAGTTAGAGGCAGTCACTGCAGCCTTCAGCTGGCTTGAGAATCAGCTGTACAAACATGTTGTTATTGTAACCGAATCTCAGAGTATGCTGAAAAAGGTGGAGACCAGTATGCTCCGTGAAGAGCTGCAAGCATCACTTCAGAGTTCCTGGGCAGTTAGCGTCTTTTGAAAATTCCCCCTAGGGTGAGCCAGTATATTAGGAAATGAACAGGCAGATAGACTGGCTGGTTCTATACAACTTGGTTATGAATTAATACATGACGAGCTAGATGTCGTAAGATACCCTCTAAGGGTGAGTGAATAGTGCGGAAGCACAGATGGATCATCACTGTCTGAAGAGAATGGAGCTGTGGGGAGTGACCAGGGGATTTGGTCAACTCAAGGGAAAGGTGAGATGGATACACAATCAGACTGTTACCGGTAACTTTGGAATTGGAACTGCGCTTGCTGTTGAAGATGGGGCCAGTGCGCTTATAGGAATGTCCTGAGTATTGTGATGTTAATTCTTGATTAAACATTAAAGCAAAGATGATAGAAGACACCCTCGTCTTTCTTATGATTTTACTGGAAACCAATATGTTAGCAATATACTGAAGAACTGAAGCAAATCAAGCAGTAACAAAATCTGCTAATATTATTAACTCTCTCAGTCCCACAAAGTTCTAGCTAATGTCCGATGGAGTTACGAATGGCAATACTAAACTCATGAATACTACATCCAGAGGGGCCAATTATACAACCCTTGCAGGAAACAAACATAATGTCAGTTCTTCAGAGTCTCTGACTAAACATAAGATGTAAAAACATCATAACATGTTGAGAGGTACATCTGAATAATATCTAGTCATGCATAGTGTGTTGTCTGGGACAGAGCGTGTTAAATAGAATGTTCTTCCACTGGAACCCACAGGACCAACAAAATAAAAGGTGACAATTTCATGGAGCATTAGAGACTGGGGTGGATAAGATGGGAAGAAAAAGTGGTGGGGAAATGGTACACTATTAAAAAAAAAAGGATGTAGGAGGACACGGGATGCAAAAACACAGGATGTAGAGAGGACAAGGAGTGAAGACATAGCATGCAGTGACAAAGAATATAATGGTGTGGCATGAATCTACTATTATATGGCATATACTCCAGTGGGAAATAAAGTTAAAAGTGAAGGTAAGAAGATCGACTTCATTACCCCAGGTTTTATCCCATATAGGCTATCCTCCGAATAATGGTCCTAAATTATTGAGGAGGAAAATATACCTCAACAGGACCTCAGTCACGTGTCAATTGCGCACTTCCGGATGACATACAGGTTTCAGTGCAAGTGTAAGCAGCATATGATATGCCATCATTATTAATATTGGCTCTCCTCCGAACGGCGTCCTAATATTATTGCGGCTATAAAATATCCTTACAGGGCTCAGGCATATGTAAAATACGGACTGTCTGCCAAGGAACAAATCGCTGCAAAACTAGGATTACTTGACAATTTCAAGAGACACAACATTGCAGACGATAGTAGCAGATGATAAAAGCGACCGTTGACAACTTCAAGCGTTTCTGCAGACGATACTAGCAGATGATAATAGCGACCATTAACAATTTCGAGACATTACAGACGATGAACGCGATATGGCGGGTAGACCACACGCTCCCAGGCAGATTAGCAATACTGTTTTTCTGATTAAGGATTTAGCAGCAGTAGATGTCAGACCTTTCGGCATGCGCAAAACACGATTAAACTCACCGCCAACTAGGTGCCTGGGACTCACAAGCAAATTAATTGGAGGAAGTTGCAGGAGATGCGGTAGCTGCTGCTCGTGAGTCCCAGCCATCTAGTTTAGCCTCCATCCGTGCCGCTAGCGCGACACGGGGGATAGGGTTGGTGGTGAGGCACGGTCACAGGCGCAGGTCTGCAAGTAACATATCGCTGAAACCCTGTTAGAGCATTTGTTTCGTAATACGGAGCCGGCATATTTTTAATAGAACTGAGCCACGTAAGGATATTTTATGGCCGCAATAATATTAGGACGCCGTTCGGGTTCGGAGGAGAGCCTTATTAGCGACTACGGTGTTCGGCAATTTGTTTGGGAAATGTCGGCTGGTTTCGGGATGGGTCCCAATCTCTCATGAAATTTTGCGATTAGTGTGGTTTTCACCAGTATAAATAGCTGAAAACGGCAGGAACGAACCCCATTAACAGCGCATGTCCACGACAGCCGGAAGTCCTCTGTTTTTCTGTTACATCAGTTTTATTAAAAATAGCGATAAGTATTCAAGGTTGGCTTTAGGCTTTAACATTACTCGTACTGGTAATGCTGGTTATAATTGAATTCTCTGTCCAATTTTACATTTGTATGTAAAATTTCTTTCTTATCAGTGGCTTTTTAGATTTACAGTGACATTTTTCAGGCAATCGCTATTATGTGGCTGTGTCTCATTGTCTGCCATCTTGTCCAATGCAAACAAAGCCAAAACGATAAGTGCGCAGTTTGGTTGCGCAGAGAAAACTTCTTGTTTCACGGACCAAGTTTTCAACAGCTGTTTTTTACATCTCATCTCCACAAAAACCTACATATCTCAGCTCAGAAATGACATACAAGCCTAAATGAGGTACTATTGGAAAGAGATTGTTTACATCTATCTAACTGTGCTGGTTTTATGATGTAGAGCTAGAGGGCATTTTGAAAATTTGACTAAAGTATCTAGCCTTCATATTATTAGATTATTATAGTAGCAGTAGTAGCCTCATCGTTATAAATCGACAGGTTAAGTAGTCTGGCCAGAAATTATGATGTTAACAGACTGTGACAGTATATCACCGTAAGCAATGAATGATTGAATGATGATGTACAGACCAAGAGGGAAGAGATAAGTAGAATTTTTGTACAGTACAGACCGAAAATTCACTACTTACTTCGTCTTTGAACTCTTTCCTCCTGTTTTTTTGCTGATAATTTTTTGCATATATCTACTGTCTACGAATACATGATTAGATGCGTTTGCATATCTACATTCTGCCACAATCTTAATGCCTGAACATAAGAATGTAGTTAATCGTTTTTGCAAAGCAAACATTGTTTGGCTGTCCTCAAATGCCCTACACTGGCAACGATAACATGGGGGCAGCCATTGAAAGACACATCAAAAACAAAAGTCAAGAGAAGGAGAAGGAACGAAATATTATTTGGATAGGTTTTATTTTACTGTTAATTAAAAAACGCTGTTTAATTATAATGCAGATGAAGTTTATATAGATGACTAATTAAATTATTTCGTTTTTCTGACAATATTATAACAACATTTAAATTATAAATGACAACTTTGTGCTGTCAGTGTCAGACTTGGAAGGACGAAAGAAAACTAACCACAATCGAAATTAAATGTTAGACAAAGGCAGTGAACAAAACTTAAAAGAAATCATGTGAGAAACAAAGAAATTACAAGAACCGTCGGAACAACGCCTTCCTTTAATTAAATTAATTGAAATACAAAGACAAAAATGGTTTGGTCATTTATTGATAATGAATCCAAAAAGGCCATAAGCAAGAGCGTACAATTTGACAGTAGAAATCATAAGAGGTAGGGGCGACCAAGAAAAATATGGATTGAAGGAGTCACTGATATCTTGAGACTCTACGAGATCACAGCATACAAGGCCTAGGCAACCGAGCGAGCCCTAGCTGGGAAACCGATCATCTGTTAACTTGTGACGCCTAGCGGCACAAAGCAGAAAATGGACAAAAGAAGAAGAATAAAAATATTTTTGAAGTTCAAACTGTATAAAATACAGAACAAAGAAGGAGAGGACCAAAGTAATTTATGAAAATGCATGTGAAATTTCCAGTTAACTCTAAATGGCTGACTGGATTGAGTTATTGATAGAGTCGGATCACTGCACTAAGGACACATCCACAGGTGCTCTCTCTCTCTCTCTCTCTCTCTCTCTCTCTCTCTCTCTCTCTCGGTAAGTATCTGTCTAACTCTCTATTGAAGTCCGGGTCATATTGATGCCTAGTCAATGAAAAGCCGTCAAACACTTTATATCCAAATTATAACCTCGAGGGTTGAGCGAAATATTTTTTACGTGAAAATTACTACTGCCTGCTACCAACTGGCGAAAACCTTGATTGGCTAGTTAATTCTTTTTTATGTCAGACTATTCCAGTTTGCCGTAAAATTAAATGAATAAAAGGCCCTTTTGGTAGCCAAATCGTTTCTTTAGAAGAAGGGAGCAGCTACGTATTTTAAAATGTTAGCTGGCGCCCCGTGGGTTATGAGGTCGGTATCCCTTCACTTTTTACTTATTTATAGCCTAGGTAAGTCTGAAAGTACAGGGTAATTTTAAAACAGGGTAATTTTAAAATAAATTGCCCGCAGCCTTATGCTCTTCTTTCTGTATTGTTTTTGGGAGGTGGGGGAGGGGGAAAGGTCACGACCCTTTTACGATATGCTTACGATTGTTGCGATAACTTTGGACTGCCAAAATAACTAACAAAAATTGTCTGGAAATTGCTAATGAAAGCAGAACATTATATTCAACAATGTTTGGTTCTTAAATATTTATTCAACAATGAGAATAGAGACAAGCAACGTTCTTTGGTCATGGGGCGAGAAAAGGAGCACTGGAAAATATCGTGACGACTGGAAAGATCACTAGTAAAAGAGGCAGACCAATAGAAATGATGGTGGTGGCTGACTTGAGACAGTGGCATGGAGGAATGTCATCGGTGGAATTGATCCAGAACATCAAAGAGCGAGATAGATCATGAACGCCTACACCAGCTGGCAGGGCACTTGATGATGTTGATGACGATATGATTATTAATGAACATCATAATAATTCTTCCCCTCCCCCAAGGGACCCTAGGAACCCACACGTAGAGTCAGGGAAACAGTCCTCGGTGAGCAAGGAAGTGATACCCGTTTTTTCCGCCTCTGAATCTTTGTTGACCTTGACCCTGACAGTCTTGTTTCGTTTTCCCAGTGTCAGGGTTGCGGTCAGTGTTGCCACTTTGGATCTTTTATATCCAAATTTAGATCTTTTTCATTGCATTTAGATACTGTTTTTGACTTTTAGATCGTAAATATTTTTCTAGAAACTTTTCATAAGGAGTTTGATATTTTATAGATTTTTTTCTTTCATTGTCAATTTAATAATTACTGTGTAAAATATTTACTACAATATTTTTGTTTTGGTCTGGCACGTACATTGTGACAACTGACATTACTTGAACTTTGGACTCTCACTGGAGTCAACGCACAAATATCTGGCAGCCCCGGTACTGATTAATAAAAACGCGCGTCAATCATACTAACTTTGTTTCAACCGTATCCTCACTGTGCTGACTTTGCGTTTCTTTTTCATGTGATTTAAAAAAAAATAATTGCTTACCTTCTTATGTGGCTTTCACTTTGAAAAATCCTTTCAACATGCCAAAAGTGAAGTATGAGCAAAAAGAATTATGAAGCAATGGTTGAAGTTGAAGACACACTTTGAAATAACAAGACAAAGTGAAAAGTGCTACACAGCTGAAATACTATATGGAATGTACAGTGATGAAAAAAATGTGTCATTCTTTCTCTTCTTATAACCTATTCTAATGGAAGTACAAAAAATTAATAAACTGTTCGAATCTAAACTTGTTGATAACGTTAAATTACTTGATGATCTCACCTTGCTATTTCACTCGGTAAAAGACTGGTGTTGCCAACTTCTAAAGCTGATTTGCTCACTTGCACTAAAGAGAGCTATTTGGCTCCTAAGCCACACCTTGGATATTAAATTGAATCAAAAATTGATGATTTAAAAACGAAAGGACTGTTATCAGAAAATGAAGAGAACAACTTGAGAAAACGCTGTCAAGATTTCCTTATTTCATAATTGGAGCAATTGAAGCAGAGACTTCCTGAAAATCTAGATGTTTTGAAAAATATTTCACTTTTTTTTCTGTGAGCAACATACTTCAGCCAATAAAGGACATACCTAAATATTGTAAAGTTATGAAATTTTTAGGGGCTACTGATAATAGTGTCGCGGAAGCAGAATATCAGTTAGCCAAAATAAAGTTAGCTGAATGGACAAACAAAACAGAAACTAAAGCGTTTTGGAGTGAAGTGAGACAATTTAAAGATGCCTAATCAAACAGTCCATTCTGTAAGCTCTTAAAAGTGCCATGTCTGCCATGATAATACCCCACTCAAATGCTGACGTAGAAAGAGTTTTCAGTGCTAGGAATTATATCAAATCTAACCTAAAAAACAGGATGAAATTTGACCTCTTAAATGCTATCGTGCCATTAAAATTCAGCCTGATGAGACTAGAGAAATAAGCCTACTGTTCCGCTTATAAAGAAATTTGAACAGCTAAAGCATACCAGGGTCATTTTGGATCTGAAGCTTTAACTTCATTATCCAAGCTAAGTTTATCCTGTGGATCTTGTGAGGCAGACATCAGTGAAGGTGAGGACATGATTATGTAGGGTAAGTCATAACAAAAGCTATGTAATTTTTGACTTTTTTCAATTTGGATGTTTTTTCTATATCTTTTCCACGCAGATTTAGATCTTTTTAGATATTTTTAGACACTATTTTGGATATTTTTTGTCAGAGAAAAGTGGCAACACTGGTTGCGGTGTCATGTTTGATTGTTGACTGACTTGAGAAGCGCAGGTGACGCAGCGTTTCATTTGTTGACGTTCATAAATCTTTTGTGTGATATATCGAGTTAGTAACACTACGTTACTTCCATCGGTTCAATTATATGTAAGGATCTCTGGTGAATTAACCATTGTTGAAAGTGTTACCAGGTAACGGTAAATTAATTACAATAATTGCTATTCTTCTTCTTCTTCTTCTTCACTTCCTCTTTTACCGCTGTGGGTGTCGAGGGAGATATAAGGTTTTGTTTCTAAATTTCTAGCTCTTCTGGCTGCCTCGACCATAGGCACATCGTGCTGTTGTAGAGTTTCTCTGGTGTTATCCTTCCATTTTGTTCTTGGTCTACCCCGTGCTCTACGTCCTTCTTCTCTTTCCATGTATGCTTTGTATGGTATGGTTTCACAAGGCATTCTCACATAATTGCTATTACTTACAGTATTTGAATCAGGGCATCAACTTTTGCAGTTTGAGTAATTCCACACAGCCGAGTACATACAATAATTAATAATATATAATATTTAAACACATATGCATTACCAATTTGGGTAGTAGTAGTAGTAGTTGTAGTGATAGTGGTGGTGATCATTTAAACAACCATATCCTGTTCAACCTATCTGCTTATAGCCGGGATATATTAATATAACCATGTAATTGTTTGATGGCTCTGTGGCTAAGTCGATGCAACGCTTCGTAATGTCGGGGTACCGTGTTCGATCCCAGCTGCGGACCATGCGCCTTGCGTTGGTTTTGACAGTGGTATCAGGGGGCCGACCTTCCAGAGGCAATGGCAAACTACTGGATGTTAATTGCCTAGAGAAACCACACAGCCAGGGGCTGCAGGGGTGGTTCTGCAACGTCCTGTAAAGGATACTCAACTAACCTTGTGTAGTTGTTCACAATTCAGTGTTGTATGTTTATGCTTATCAATTATTTTTGGTTATCTAATATTGCATATATTATGTATTCATTGTAGGAGTATAGATTGTCATTTTCAATATATTTTAGGGTACCTTAAATAACTGAGATAATCGTTTTGTGTAGTCTGTCTTTGGCAATCATTAAAATGACCAGGGATAGCATCTTCTGCCTCAAGAATTAGACTTGTTTCTATAAACAAACAAAAAACAAAATAAAAATTGCTGGTAACCACCACAAAGTGTATTTAAAAAGTGCCACTACTACCGTAAAGTGTCAATTACAGTTAAGTTAGTTGCGTATCCTTTACAGGATGTTGCAGAACCAACCCCAGCATTTTGAGGTGGGGGGGGGGGGGGGGGCTGTTGTGGTTTTTTAAAGGCAAATTTTATGTTTAGTAGTTTGCCATTGCTGTCAGATCGGTGAGATCTCAGTACCACTGTCAAAACCAACACAAGACAAACTGTCAGCAAGTGGGGTCGAACCCGGCACCCCGGCATTACTAATAATATATAATATTTTCTTCTTCAGCATTGTTTTAATTTGATAAAATTTATGTTTGTTCCATGGGCTTATTAGTGGTGACAAAATGGCAACAAGTATTAAGGACACCGCTCTACCAGACTGGAGGTTGCAGGAAATCTTGAACATAACAAATGAGTGGGCTCTCTGTAATGGTAAGTCAGTAGTGTTATGATTTTATTTGTTGTCCAGTGAACACTACAGCATGAGTTGTAGAAACACAATGTAATGGTCATGTACAGTGAAACTAAATTAACACAAAATATGTCTAACTAACTCATCAGAGGTAAAGGAAAGATACATTGATATACGCAAACATTACAGCCAAAGTATAAACACAATGTAACGGTGATGTACAGTGAAACTAAATTAACACAAAATATGTCTAACTAACTCATCAGAGGTAAAGGAAAGATACGCATTGATACAAGCAAACATTTCAGCCAAAGTATAAACACAATGTAACGGTCATGTACAGTGAAACTAAATTAACACAAAAATGACTAACCAACTCATCAGAGGTAAAGGAAAGATACACATTGATACAAGCAAAAATTTCAGCCAAAGTATAAACACAATGTAACGGTGATGTACAGTGAAACTAAATTAACACAAAATATGTCTAACCAACTCATCAGAAGTAAAGGAAAGATACGCATTGATACAAGCAAACATTTCAGCCAAAGTATAAACACAATGTAACGGTCATGTACAGTGAAACTAAATTAACACAAAATATGTCTAACCAACTCATCAGAAGTAAAGGAAAGATACGCATTGATACAAGCAAACATTTCAGCCAAAGTATAAACACAATGTTACGGTCATGTACAGTGAAACTAAATTAACACAAAATATGTCTAACTAACTCATCAGAGGTAAAGGAAAGATACATTGATATACGCAAACATTACAGCCAAAGTATAAACACAATGTAACGGTGATGTACAGTGAAACTAAATTAACACAAAATATGTCTAACCAACTCATCAGAAGTAAAGGAAAGATACGCACTGATACAAGCAAACATGTCAGCCAAAGTATAAACACAATGTAACGGTCATGTACAGTGAAACTAAACACAAAAAATGTCTAACCAACTCATCAGAAGTAAAGGAAAGATACGCATTGATACAAGCAAACATTTCAGCCAAAGTATAAACACAATGTAACGGTCATGTACAGTGAAACTAAATTAACACAAAATATGTCTAACTAACTCATCAGAAGTAAAGGAAAGATACACATTGATACAAGCAAACATTTCAGCCAAAGTATAAACACAATGTAACGGTCATGTACAGTGAAACTAAACACAAAATATGTCTAACCAACTCATCAGAAGTAAAGGAAAGATACGCATTGATACAAGCAAACATTTCAGCCAAAGTATAAACACAATGTAACGGTCATGTACAGTGAAACTAAATTAACACAAAATATGTCTAACTAACTCATCAGAAGTAAAGGAAAGATACACATTGATACAAGCAAACATTTCAGCCAAAGTATAAACACAATGTAATGGTGATGTACAGTGAAACTAAATTAACACAAAATATGTCAACCTGGTGGATGGGGTACTTTAAGTTTCCAATAGAATTAGAGACTGAAATGAAAAAATATGGTAAGCTACATATGCTGATAAATGTTAGGGCGACTTGACACGAGTTAGTTAGGGCCTGTGCCCCATTCTGGGCTAAAAGCATGCTTGAGAAACTACATTTTTCATATTCTCTAGATCTGTTGTCTCATATTCTCCAGAGCCTTTCAGCTCATATTGTTCAGACTGTAATATCTTACATTGTAGCAAAATATGATTCAGAAGTATACTTCTGATAGAACTCTTGCAACAAAAAAAAAAAAAAAAGATAAAACACATACAAGTTGTAAAGTAGCAGCTACTGAGATGATTAAACTGTAAATATTGCTCACTTTTATTTTTGATCACTTATTTGAGCATATTTTATTACCAACGTTAAAGAAAAGATGCCATATCCCTGTCTGTATACTGTTATTAAAAAAAATGATAAAACCCTTTTTTTTTTATCGTAAATGTATTTTCTGCAATGTTAATAAATTTCCAATAAACAGTGAATAAATGATAAAGGAGACGGTTGTCCTGTGACAGATAATGCCTGTAGGGTATTAAGTGTTAGGTTTTAAAATATTTTAATTGGTTAATAGATCATCTTCGCTGGATGTAAAACTATTCACTTCACATGGGGTTAGATACACACTTTACTTATCTCATAGCAATCATTTTCACCGCAAATTTGGTATTGTTATGTCTGCTTAGTACTCTGATACAGCAGCCACTTAAAGAGGTACCTCTGTTCCTAGGAAAAGTTGGTTATAAAACCTCCTGTTTTGACCTTGAAAATGGCATAGATATGCTTCATTAGCTTTACATCCAGGTCATGTAATAATATTAGCAGAATAGATTCCTCTTTATCCAAATTATGATCCTGAGTAGTTTACTTAGCATGTGGTGACCAACAACACGTGTCCTATGTTTGTTTGTTAGCTTTGTCATTATATCAACACAGTCCATTGTGTCTCCACTTTCCGCAGTAGCCCACCCAGCAGGCTTGTTGTTGCTTCTCACACTTGCATACCCTGACTGTCAAGGGCAGTTGATTTTTGACAACAGCTGGCTTATAAGCCCAGCTCTTATCAGCATGCTCAATGACACACTGAAATAACATGTTTAGATGAAAATCTAACTCCAGCTAGGCTATTGCCTTAGTTATTGGCATGACTTCCATAGTGATGACAGAAAGCACAGAAAGCACCTGCTCTGAGCGACCCACCACCAAATCGCGCAGATACCCTATGTGATGTACAGTGACACTCCTCTGATGGTTCTTCCTCTAAAAGACCCTGCCACCCGAGGACTCAAGGTAGATGCACCACTTAGTGAAAGGAACCCAGACCTCTCATCTGCTACCCCAGCCACTCATTGAAGTATCACTGACTAACTTCCTGTTAATCAGCCTCTGATACCTCCCCATCACAATTTCACATTGGTCAACACACACAAAGTTCTCCCAGCACCTTCTGCGCACTTAAGAATACCTCGCCAACCAACATGCCAATAGCCGCAACCGTGCCACCCCCACACACATGGGCCCCACAACTGTCCATTCTAGAAATCACACTGAGAGAACTCCGTACTCATGATCCACCACAATCATCCAGACAGTTCACACAAGCTCCACAGAATTAAACATTTCTAAAACTGTCACACAACACAGTCCATAGGTCATGAACAGTTCGCGCACACTTCGTGTTTCCCCAGTGGCTCATGCTCCACTCTCTTTGTTACCAATTCAGTATAACTTCAAAGGATTCTTTTAATGTTTTCCTTTTTTATTTCTCCTAATTCTTTGTTATATTATCTTTTTCACCAGTTCAGTAAAATGTTTTCCTCTTGGTCCATCGTCATATATTCACATCATAGGTGTGAGCATCAAGGCTGGTAGTGAAGGATCAGAAACAGGGAAAGCTGTTGCAGCTCCATATGCTTTGTTTCCAAGTGTTGTTCCTGCTGCCGTTTTGCACCAAGCAAAGTCCACCATGGTTGAGTTCAACAGGTTGATGCACAAGATTGCACTGGACCATGAGTTCTTGGAAAACTCACTGAAAAAGTTTGTGGGTGTTTATTGTGGTTGAACATTTTAACTTTTTATTTTGTTTTGTTTATTTTAGTGCTGTGATTATCTTTTGTGTATATATATGTCTGTGATTTAATTTTAGTGTATGTGTTGACATGTGTTTTTCTGTGTCTTGGGCACTCGTACTTTGCTTATCCTTTTCCTCCTTTTTCTTCTCCTCCTCTTCTTCTTTTTCTTCTTCTTCTCCTCCTCCTTCTTCTTCTCCTTCTTCTTCTTCTCCTTCTTCTTCTTCTCCTTCTTCTTCTCATTCTCCTTCTTCTTCTTCTCCTCCTTCTTCTTCTTTTTCTCTTTCTTCTTCTACTGCGCTCACTCTTAAAATACCGGTTTGTACATTGTGTTGTGGTTTACAGCCAGACTGCAGTATCTGCACCTTTCTGCCCAGTACCTCTGATTTTAGCAAACCTAGGGATGGATAGATTAAAAATGATGAAATGATTCATCTTCTTTATTTCAGTGTCATCAAAGTTGATCCCTTCATGGGAAGATTGTGGGATATTTATGAGAGAGTGCGGAGTGCTGGTGTCAAGCAGGTAGGATCACAGATTTGTGTTAATTTATTGCACATAACAATATTTACTGGAGTAGCAACATTTTGTCTTCTGCCGTTTTTTACTTATTGGAGCGTTGGCCCTCAGCAAAATCTTGGGAAGTCCACCTATCATTCACCATCTCTTGCACCTCCCTCCATGTCCTTCTGAGAATTTGTTAATAAAAACTTGATTTTTGTCCTATATTAGAAATTTGTGGGCTCTGTGGCTAAGTTGATGCGAACGCTTCGCTTCGTAATGCCGGGATGCCAGGTTCGATTCTAGCTGCGGGCAATGCGCCTTGCGTTGGTTTCGGCAGTGGTATCAAGAAAGCCTACCGTCCAGAAAGCAATGGCAAACTACTGGATGTAACTTGCCTAGAGAAACCACACAACAGCCAGGGGCTGTTGGGGTTGGTTCTGCAACGTCCTGTAAAGGATACGCAACTAACTTTTTAAAAAATTAGAAATTTAAACAAAGAAGACGCAAACAAATTTATTGCCTGCCATATTTCACTGGATCTCGTCAGATGCATACTATAGTTACAGTTGAATTAAATAAAACAAATAAATAATTCTTTACAAAAAAAAATTAGCTACTCTCAGAAATAACTGCCTGTTTATTAACAGCTTGAAAAATAAGGAGTTAATTAAAAATTGAAGCAGGAAAGGTTGTATAACAGCTGGATGGGGACAAGGATTGGGAAAAGGTTAGTTAGTTATTCAGTCGATCATCCTCATTGCACGTCAGACAAGTCCATTAGCACTTAAATCCCATTTTCAGTATCTACCTCAGCATGTGGTGACTGATAACATCAGTTGTGTATTGATTTACTATTCTTCTTTGGTTACCTGCATTGTGTTCATACAGAGGCAGTAGTTTTTTTTTTTTTAAATGAAGTTCTTGTAATCTTGTCATGCTTACTGATTCATCTACTCGTCCTGCCTCCTTGAGAGCATTGAGAATATGGGCCCAGTCCATTGCTTTTCCTGTGCCTATTGTGGCCCTGGGAGCAAGGCAGTCCTACACCAGAGTGTCTTACCATAAACATAAAACTGAGAAAAGTGTATCATGTAAGTAGAAACCAACAAAAGCATACTAAGTTACTTTGTATGAAATAGTTTTAAAAACTTCCCAGTCTTGAATTGGATTTAAATACACAGCTACCATGTTTGTAGTCAAGCCTGCTGGCCACTGTCTCACTGTGACTTGCCCTACTTAAATGATTGTTAATTATAAGTTGGGACTTTCTATTGCAGTGTGCAAGATTGGAATGTTCCTAAATTATTAGCATCCCTGGGTACTCAGGTGTTCACACGTGCTTGTATACTCAGTGACTCAATGAATATGCTCAAGAAACTCCGGGCTGAGTTCATCAGACAAGAGTGGACTGTATCCCTAAGTACCTTGTGAATGGATGACCTAATATTTATCTTTGTGCCTGGTTATGCAGGTGTTCTGGACAGTGAGAGTGCAGATTATCTGGCTTTGTTCTGGTGCTGGATAGATGCAGTGTCATCAATGCCACGTGCAGCACTTGTTGAATGTTGAACTAAGAATCAACAACACAGCACTTGGGACACTCTCATAAGTGCTCAGTCCCCATCTTCAGCAGCAAGCGAAGAGTTCCAATTCCGATGGTACCAGTAAGGGTCTGATTGTCTGAACTGGTGGTGCCTCATGTGGTTAAAATTAATGGCATGTGCAACTGCTGATCTGTTTGAAACTACTACTTCCGCCAATGATGCATTTCTGTCAGATTGTTCGTGTTAGCACTTCTGATGGCTGCTTTGTGCTTTTAATGCGTGTGTATGCTAGTGTATATGCTGAGACTGCAGTCCATATCAGTTTTTCCATAATAGACAGTGATGGACATTCTGTGTGTTTTTCATGGGCACAGGAGAAAAGCAACAATGGGGTGACCCATCTGCTATAAAGCTGAAACTGAGATTACCAGGTTAGCAGCACCAGCGAATGTTATTTATGATGAATGACTTTCTGTTGCAGCCTGTGATGGTCGGGTTGTTCCGAAATGACTTTATGATGAATTGTTTGGATGCAGTGGCTCCAGGCGAATTAGTCAGAGCTGATCGGCTAGAGCTGAAGCAGATTGAGTTCAATTCTATTGCATCTAGCTTTGGAGGTCTCACACAGCAATTGAGCAAGTTACACAGGTATGTTGTTTTCTTCATGCTCCCTGTCAATGTTCTGGGCCTCAATATTAGTGTAAACAAAAAGAAATAGCCCTACTATTTCCCTAACAAGCTTGTCGTAAAAGGTGACTAATTAAGGGTTAACTGAAATTTGATGAGTTGGCTGAAAAGTGGAGATATTACTGTCAACACCAGAATGACAAGCCACCTCCCTTTCCTGAGCGAATGCACAAGAAGAAAAGGTTTGTTCTGCTGAGTGGACCATCCGTTTTAGAGAGAAATAGTTTGGTCTCAGTTTTTGGCACTTATGCCATTTTAGATTTGTGTGCTTACTTCTCAGACAGAAATCGATGAATAATTCTGACATAATACAGTCCAAAGATTTCTATATATAAATCTAACTTTCTGACTACCCATAAATAATTTATGTTGTTGGATTTTTGTTGCTGAAATGAATCTGAGGACTGAGTTTGACTTTCACATATCTCAACGTGTTTTACTTTATGAAAGATGAGTGGGAGAAGGGGCAGAATATGAGACACACTTGTATGTTCTGTTCTGAATTATTGGAAATAGCATTTGTTCTTTCTGTCTTTTTGTCTTCTAAGCATTTGTTCTTTCTGTCCTTTTCTCTTCTAAGCATTTGTTCTTTCTGTCTTTTTGTCTTCTAAGCATTTGTTCTTTCTGTCTTTTTGTCTTCTAAGCATTTGTTCTTTCTGTCTTTTTGTTTTCTAAGCATTTGTTCTTTCTGTCTTTTTGTCTTCTAAGCATTTGTTCTTTCTGTCTTTTTCTCTTCTAAGCATTTGTTCTTTCTGTCTTTTTGTCTTCTAAGCATTTGTTCTTTCTGTCTTTTTGTCTTCTAAGCATTTGTTCTTTCTGTCTTTATGTTTTCTAAGCATTTGTTCTTTCTGTCTTTTTGTCTTCTAAGCATTTGTTCTTTCTGTGTTTTTGTCTTCTAAGCATTTGTTCTTTCTGTCTTTTTCTCTTCTAAGCATTTGTTCTTTCTGTCTTTTTGTCTTCTAAGCATTTGTTCTTTCTGTCTTTTTGTCTTCTAAGCATTTGTTCTTTCTGTCTTTTTCTCTTCTAAGCATTTGTTCTTTCTGTCTTTTTGTCTTCTAAGCATTTGTTCTTTCTGTCTTTATGTTTTCTAAGCATTTGTTCTTTCTGTCTTTATGTTTTCTAAGCATTTGTTCTTTCTGTCTTTTTGTCTTCTAAGCATTTGTTCTTTCTGTGTTTTTGTTTTCTAAGTATTTGTTCTTTCTGTCTTTTTGTCTTCTAAGCATTTGTTCTTTCTGTCTTTTTCTCTTCTAAGCATTTGTTCTTTCTGTCTTATTGTCTTCTAAGCATTTGTTCTTTCTGTCTTATTGTCTTCTAAGCATTTGTTCTTTCTGTCTTTTTCTCTTCTAAGCATTTGTTCTTTCTGTCTTATTGTCTTCTAAGCATTTGTTCTTTCTGTCTTTTTCTCTTCTAAGCATTTGTTCTTTCTGTCTTTTTCTCTTATAAGCATTTGTTCTTTCTGTATTTTTCTCTTCTTAGCATTTGTTCTTTCTGTCTTTTCTCTTCTTAGCATTTGTTCTTTGTCTTTTTGTCTTGATTTCTCTCTGTCTCTTTATCTCTGTCTCTCTATCTATCTGTATGTCTATCTTCTTCCTTTTCATTCACACAGACTATCTCTTCCTTTTTCTGAATTTCTCTTTTCTCTCAGCTCTGCTTCTCTCTTTCACTCTATGTCTGCTAGCCAGAAATGTTTTATAATGTGCTTATATATAAATATATATGCATACATGAGCATGAGTTCTTGATACAAATAATTGTACTTTTCAGATTAACTGTGGGATTAGCTGGCAAAAATGTCACCAACAAGCAAGTATGATGTTATCACCGTTGCATTTGTTTTTACAAGTTAAAATTTAAACATTAAAGTTTCATGAATATTTAAATGTATCATGTAAATTTATTAAATCCCACCGCAGCGGGATCACAAAATGATCGCCAGCTGGTATGGCCCATTAACTAATGTGCAGTATGGATAATCATTATTCACACACTTGAACCTCGGCTTAGAGATACTGAACACTTATAGGCATCTCTTTAGTGCAAGAACACAAAGCTACACCAGATATGGAAGACCTAGAAACAGAAAAATCAGGTGTAACTGTACACAACAAAGAATTTGAATACAAATAAGAAAGCAAAAAAAAAACCTTCTCAGTATAACCAAGCATTTAGCCAGTTGAACAGTGAGCAAGTTTGGAGTTTTGTTATCTAAAAATCGAATGCAAGAACATGGCTTCCTAATTATAATAACAGTTATGTCCTGGTCCTGAGTGCAAGAATGATTCTTAGTTATAATGGCAGTGATATCCTGAGTAGGGAAAAAAAAACATGGATTCATAATCATAGTGATAGTCTTATCCTTGATACAAGGATACTAATAATGACAATCGTAAGACATTATCATCATCAAGTGCCTTGCACTGGCGTGAGCGATCATGCCTCTCCACAATCTGCGATCTGCAACTGTGTGTATCAGTTCGTGTGTTGATACCCCTCCATGCCATGAAAAATGACTGTCAAGAATCTTTTTACGCTGTCTTTCTCTGTCTCTATTTCCACAGATCTTTCCAGTGGTCACACCATGTTCCATTTTTCCTCCTCTCATAACATAACCCAAAAATGATGACTGTCTCTTTCTGATGTTTGTTATAAGTCTTTGAGCATTCACCTCTTTCAAAACATCTGCACTTCTTAGCTGTCCAAGGAATTTTAAGGATCTTCTGTAAAACCACATCTCTGCGGCCTCAAGATATTGTTCGGCTTGTTTATTAATTGTCTAGGCTTCACAGCCATATGTTAAAACTAGCTCTATATAGCATGGGAGATTTTTTTTCCAAACTTCCAATGACATGGATTTATTGCATACAATGTTCATCATTTTGTAAAATGCAGTTTTGGCCTGTTCTATTCTTTTCTTTATCTCTGTGATACATCTTCCATCGGATGTTATCCATGTGCCTAGACACTCAAATTTATGTACTAGTCCTAAAATAATGCCTTTGACATTTATGATACATTTAGGCACTGTTCTTTTCTTGGAAATCACCATTACTTCTGTCTTTCCATTATTCAAACTGAGGCCCATTTTAGAATTTTCTACCACCACCACATCTATCAGTTCCTGTAGATAAGACATAAATGACTGATTATAATTGTTTTCATTTCAGTTGCCAGAAAATGAGCCTGCCTCTGGTTTGGCATCAGGGCTTTTGAAAGCCTGGGAGCTGTACGGAAATCCAAGGTAAGAATAATTCAATCTTGTTCATCATAATCGAGTGCTTTGCCTACTGTGATGGACGATCACACATCTGTACTTTTTGTGATCCCCAAAAACGTTTTAATTCAGGTGTTTGCACCTTTCCGTACGGTGAAAAAAGACTTTTAAGAATATTCTCTCTATCTCTCTCTCTCTCTCTCTCTCTCTCTCTCTCTCTCTCTCTCTCTCTCTCTCTCTCTCTCTCTCTCTCTCTCTCTCTCTCTCTCTCTCTCTCTCTCTCTTTTTCTCTCCCACATCTCTCATTCTTTGTTATTATGAGATAAAAAAAACATTTTTTTAATGTGTCCTTGTTTAACTCTGCTGAATACAGCTGCGGTAATAATTATGGTCTGGTTTTGTTTGTTCAAGTTTAATGGCTTAATGGTTTGTTGTGCCAGTAGTTTTGCCTTATTGTCCCTAACTGTGTGTGATGTTGTCCTTTCAGAATATGTATGGGTCCTATTTTTTGGTCCTGATTAGCCTTTTGTTTTTTATGTCCATCTTCCTGACTGGACTTTCCATCTTTCTCAGTCTCTCTCTCTCTCTCTTGCTGTCTCTCTCTCTCTCTCTCTCTCTCTCTCTCTCTCTCTCTCTCTCTCTCTCTCTCTCTCTCTCTCTCTACCAATCATTTCAGTGTTGATTTAATAGGTTCCAGTTTTTTGCATCTCATCATGTGACCTAGAAACAAAAAAACTATGATGCCTTGTGATAAGTTGTTTTCATGTCCTAGCCTCTTTTCAACATCTTAAAATCTCGTGGTGAGGTTTTTGTTAAATCACATCTTTAATCCTCGTGAGGTTTTTATTAAACCACATCTTTAATCCTCATTGTGAGGTTTTTGTTAAACCACATATTTAATCCTCATTGTGAGGTTTTTGTTAAACTACATTTTTAATCCTCATTGTGAGGTTTTTGTTAAACCACATATTTAATCCTCATTGTGAGGTTTTTGTTAAACTACATTTTTAATCCTCATTGTGAGGTTTTTTTAAACCACATCTTTAATCCTCATTGTGAGGTTTTTGTTAAACCACATCTTTAATCCTCATTGTGAGGTTTTTGTTAAACCACATCTTCAATCCTCATTGTGAGGTTTTTGTTAAACCACATCTTCAATCCTCATTGTGAGGTTTTTGTTAAACCACATCTTCAATCCTCATTGTGAGGTTTTTGTTAAACCACATCTCTGATGCTTTAATGAATTATTTGGTTTGTACATTGTTCACAGTAATAAGAGCAATGTTTGATATCAGAACTAGAATCAGTGCACTGTAGGTAATTATGTAGGTGTTTAGTTTCACACAGCTCATTGACATATATTCGTATGTAAACTGTCACATACAGGTCTGTCAGCCTAAAGAACCTTTCAATGTGTTTTAGGACCAGATTCAATTGCATTTTTGTTTATAGTATAACATATACTATCCAAATATCTGATACTCCTCAGTGCGGTTATTGTTTTTCTGGTCAACCCAATAGAGAGAAATGAAATGGACCAGAGGTGGCTGGAGTTCAAAATTTATGAGAAAAATCCTCATGTACGGATTCTCCGCAGGACATTTTTGGAGGTCAATGAAACTGGATCCTTGGACAGTGAGAAGAGATTGCTCATGTATGCATTTGTACCTGTGGAAAATGTGTTTTGTTTTCTTTTTCTGTTTATTCTTCTACTCCTCCACCACCTCCTCCTTCTCTTCTTCTTCTGCTCCTTCCTAATCTGTTGCTTCTACTTCTCTTCCTCTTCTTCTTCCACTTCTCCTTTCGATTCTTCTTCTGCTGCTTTTACTCTTCTTTTTTTTTCTGCTGTTGCTTCTACTCCTCCATCCCTTCCTCTTCTTTTCATCATCATCATCATCTTCTGTCTTCCTACATTTTATGCTGCTGGTCCTCTTTTTTTTATATCTCTGTCTGTCTCTCTGTGTCTCTCTTTGGGTGTTTCCCTCTCTATGCCTCTCTGTGTCTCTCTTTGGGTGTTTCCCTCTCTATGCCTCTGTGTCTCTCTTTGGGTATTTTCCTCTCTATGCCTCTCTGTGTCTCTCTGTGTTTCTCACTGTCTGCATGTCTCTCTCTGTCTCCCTGTCTCTCCTAGTTTATCCATCTCTTCCTGTGTCTGTCGGTTTGCTTGCTCTCTGTCTTGTAAACCTTTGAAAATTAAGTTTATTTGTTTTTTCTCACGCTTTGTGTCTTCCTGTCGCTGTCTGTCTCATTCTCTCTGTCTCTCCATGCCTCTCTGTGTCTTTCCCTTTCTATAAATATATAATCTGTGTAGTGCTCTGACAAGTCTACTTTCTTTCCTGCTGGTGTTTAAACCACCTGCAGCGAATTTAGAAAACTTGACCTGGGCTCTCAGTCGGTGGCAGGAAATATTCTAGTCAGTAAAAGAGACCAGTGTGATACTAGCCTCAACACTCATCGGGTGCTGATTGCATCAAGTGCTGATTGCATCAAGTGCTGATTGCATCAAGTGCTGATTGCATCAAGTGCTGATTGCATCAAGTGCTGATTGCATCGAGGGCTGATTGCATCAAGTGCTGATTGCATCAAGTGCTGATTGCATCAAGTGCTGATTGCATCGAGGGCTGATTGCATCGTGCTGTTTGCATCGAGGGCTGATTGCATCAAGTGCTGATTGCATCAAGGGCTGATTGCATCAAATGATGTTTGCATCGAGGCTGATTGCATCAAGTGCTGTTTGCATCAAGGGCTGATTGCATCAAGTGCTGATTGCATCAAGTGCTGATTGCATCAAGTGCTGTTTGCATCGAGAACTGATTGCATCGAGGGCTGATTGCATCAAGGGCTGATTGCATCAAGGGCTGATTGCATCGAGGCTGATTGCATCAAGTGCTGTTTGCATCAAGGGCTGATTGCATCAAGTGCTGATTGCGATTGCATCAAGTGCTGATTGCATCAAGTGCTGATTGCATCAAGTGCTGTTTGCATCGAGAACTGATTGCATCGAGGGCTGATTGCATCAAGGGCTGATTGCATCAAGTGCTAATTGCATCGAGTGCTGCCTAGTCAATATAAATAAGGGTCTAGTACCATATACTTTAAGGAGAAGTGGGACTTTTACTGAACTGCTGTTTATCTTATAATTTAACAGCGGTGATGATGAAGTTGCGGTGATGTACCTTCGAGATGGTTATACAGCAGAGAATTATCCATCAGATGAGGTATAGTTACTGTTTTTGAGGAGTGTTGTACAGTAAAACATTGTTAACATGATCAAGAAACTGAAAAATAAAGAGTTTGTGTTATCAGTATTTGTGCTAACTGGGGACTAATCGATGTTATGAATAATACATCCCTGATAGGATCAAAGTGTTCTTTATGTTAACCAGGCATTCGTCTTAAGAGAGTTTGTGTTAGTAAGGTTCTACCATGTTAACATAGCCATTATTTAACCCTGTCGCCTTGGTAAAGCTTAAAAAAAGGTCATGACCTTGAGGAAATTCCATCTTTAAAAAATCCTTTACAAAATAACAGTTTTACACAGGTCACTAAAAATTTGCAAAAAGTTTATTTTCTGTTATCGTTCCTATGTTAGTTGTGAGTTGGTATATCTATAACATATACAGGGTAAGGAAAAAGAGAAAAAAATTGCTGTTTTTTAGATGACATAAGCATGTGTTATTTTTTTTTAAAGGGAGAGAATGAGGAACAGCTTTTCTTTAAATGTTATTTCACTTGTTTTAGGATTTTTATAAACATATTTACCAATGAGTCCAGCCAGTTTTTTTTTTATGTGACCTTAGCTTCCAGGTTGACCTAGTATCAAATGGATACCAGGTAAAGTCTTGGGAAGTAAAGATGGCCTGTGTGGTGTTGACCACATCACCCACCAAATGCCAGTTGGTCTATAAAATATAGGTCTAGCCCTATATGCCCAGTTGGTTTAGAGGCGTGGAGAAGGGTCTTTTACTTGGCATATAAATAAGTTTAAGCTCAGTGTTATTTTTATTCATACTAATTAGCAGTGGTTGTTTTTATTTTACTAATTTACGTGTATAAGAAATGTTATCCTAATAAAATTATATTCCTGTGTTGTTTATATATATATATATATATATATATATATATATATATATATATATATATATATATATATATATATATATATATATATATATATATATATATATATTTCTTCTGATTTTATTTAGGTGTGGAATGGTCGACTTAAAATTGAGCTCTCCAGAGCTATCAAATGTCCATCCATCCAGTACCAGCTTGTTGGAGCCAAAAAGATCCAGCAGGAACTGGCACGACCTGGTGCACTGGAGAGATTTATTTCGGATCATCAAGTTGTTCAGTCACTGCGGGATACGTTTGCAGATCAGTATAGTTTAGATTTGGTGAGTGTGTACAGTTTTTTTTTTTTTTAAACTTCTGTTTGTGAATCCTGGACAGTTAATGCACAAACCAAACAATTTCTTGAAGTTTCTGGTATGTGGTTTTACAGAAGAGTCTTTGAATTTCTTGGACAGTCAAAAAGAGCAACCCAGATGTTTTGAAAGAGGTAATGGCTCATTAAGAACTGATCACAAATGACTGAAAGAGACAGTAATAACTTTTTTGGGTAATGTTAGGAGAAGAGGGAAACTAGGGCATGTGACCACTGGAAAAATCTGTGAAAAAGAGATGGGAAGACAATAGGAGCTGATTCCTGGCAACTTTTTGTCATGGCAAAACTGATATATGCTGTTGAAGATTGTAGAGGGACATAATCGCCCACGCCAATCAGCAAGGCACTTGATGATTATGATGATGTGCCTGTTAATTGCTACATCCTTATGTTTTTTTTAATGCATTATTGTCACTTACATCTGTTGTAAAAGCTCTTGTTTGTTAATGTGGTGTTTGCTCATTGTTTTCTCAGAAATTTGCTACAAAGGTCTTGTTTCTGTGTTAGCATGTTGTTTTACTTGTTGTCACTGATATTTGCTATTAAAGACTTTGCATCCATATTATCAACTATAAAAATCTTTGTTTCTACAATACTATGTTGTCTAGCTCATTATTTTTTTATATTTGCTATGAAGGACTTTATTTCTATGTTATTGTGGTATTTCACAGTGAGATGAGAGATCAAGAGTGGCAAGTAAAACCACTAGTATATTATATTCTTTCTGTCAGGGTCCAGAAGGTGACAAGGCAGTGGAATTAGCTCTTGCTAACCCGGACAAATTTGTACTGAAGCCACAGAGAGAAGGGGGAGGTAAATATTGTCCTAGTTTACTTTTGGCCTTTTGCTCATCATCATCATCATGTGCCATGTGATTGTTGAGCTGAATGCTCCTTACATTGTTACCTAGACAACTAACAGTGACAGGGGACTGACGACGCAGCTGGAACATCCATTAAACTTGTTGTGTGTTAAGAATTGGGTTTCGGTCCGTTTATTCTTGACTTCTGAGTGTGGTGCGTCGCTTTTGCTGTATACTAGGTTAACTGTAGTCCTAGCTCTTCTGCAGTGTCAATTGGCCATCCTTAGGGAGTACATTGCAGCCGATATTCATTGCTCTAGTCTTGCCCCATTCTAATGGCAAAGCCATCCAGGAATTAAAAACTGTTTGCCTTTTCCTTGCTGTTCTTCAGTCAATCTTGCCAGTCGTCGCCAAGGTCTCAAATTCCTTCCTTCTCATAACAAGTCTGGAAAACACAGCTTGTCTGCAGCTAACTTCTCTAATCTCTTTATGGGTTTTTTAAATCATGACTATTTTTGGCATCTTAAAAAAGGTAGCTTGCCATTGCTTTTGCTAGCTTGCCATTGCTTTCACTTGCTTGCCATTGCTTTCGCTAGCTTGCCATTGCTTTCACTAGCTTGCCATTGCTTTCGCTAGCTTGCCATTGCTTTTGCTAGCTTGTCATTGCTTTTGCTAGCTTGTCATTGCTTTTGCTAGCTTACCATTGCTTTTGCTAGCTTGTCATTGCTTTTGCTAGCTTTCCATTGCTTTTGCAAGCTTACCATTGCTTTTGCTAGCTTACCATTGCTTTAGCTAGCTTACCATTGCTTTTGCTAGCTTACCATTGCTTTTGCTAGCTTACCATTGCTTTTGCTAGCTTACCATTGCTTTTGCTAGCTTACCATTGCTTTTACTAGCTTGTCATTGCTTTTGCTAGCTTACCATTGCTTGTGCTAGCTTACCATTGCTTTTGCTAGCTTACGATTGCTTTTGCTAGCGTGTCATTGCTTTTGCTAGCTTTCCATTGCTTTTGCTAGCTTACCATTGCTTTTGCTAGCTTACCATTGCTTTTGCTAGCTTACCATTGCTTTTGCTAGCTTACCATTGCTTTTGCTACCTTACCATTGCTTTTGCTAGCTTACCATTGCTTTTGCTAACTTGCCATTGCTTTTGCTAGCTTGCCATTGCTTTTGCTAGCTTGTCATTGCTTTTGCTAGCTTACCATTGCTTTTGCTAGCTTGCCATTGCTTTTGCTAGCTTACCATTGCTTTTGCTAGCTTACCATTGCTAGCTTGCCATTGCTTTTGCTAGCTTACCATTGCTTTCGCTAGCTTACCATTGCTTTCGTTTGCTTACCACTGCTTTCGCTAGCTTACCATTGCTTTCGCTAGCTTACCTTTGCTTTTGCTAGCTTGCCATTGCTTTTGCTAGCTTACCATTGCTTTCGCTAGCTTACCATTGCTTTCGTTAGCTTACCATTGATTCTGCTAGCTTACCATTGCTTTCGCTAGCTTACCATTGCTTCTGCTAGCTTACCATTGCTTTTGCTAGCTTGCCATTGCTTTCGCTAGCACACCAGAAATACACATGAGAGCAGGGGTATTTCAGTGACTAGATGCTTAATGTTAATCTTCAAAACTGTCTCTCTCTCTCTCTCTCACCCTGGTTGTACACTCTCTCAGACTTCTGTTCATCCATCTCTTGATGTTATCATCCCACTTGTACCCATGTCTACCTTTGGCTTTCCTGCCTTCAGCTTTCCTCAGCATGATTTTGGTAAGTGTTTTGTTTGTTAATGTAGCCAGGATTTTCACTTTATCTTTTAATTCTGTTGTTCAAAAGCTCTCCTTTCATTCCTAGTGTCTCCAGAACCTCTGAATGTTTTTGTTATTATTTCCATAACATGTGATCTACACTTTTGTGTACCCAGAAATCTACACTTTTGTGTACCCAGAAATCCTATGGCCTCAGTTTTGCTTTCTTATTGCTTGCTTTTGTCCAGGTTTTTCTGTGATTTAGTAAGGCCAAGTAATCTTAACACTTGACATTTCTCGTTTCTAAAGTGTTGTATCTCTCTGTGTGTCAGTATATTTTTATGGCGTACAAATGTTTTGCAGCCAACTATACTTTTTTGATTATATTTTATCCCTGTATGGGTACCAGGCCCCATTGTGGCGGAGGGGGAGGGAGAAGAATAGAACCTGCCTCCCTAACAAGCATGTTGTAAATAAGGGTTTCCTTTGAAGTTACAGTGCATCTACTTAAGAGGCAAGGAGCCAACAGTCTCCATACAGAAAACCCAGATCTGTCAAATGGACATGCACACAGACCTTAAGTTCTGAAACAAAACTCTAGAAGTAGATGAACAACCAGAACTTTCTGCCAGAGTTTACAGATGAATGCAAAGAAAAGGAAGAAAGGAAGAAGATGTATATTACTTTTGTCAAAAATTGTACAAGTATTTTCTTTATTTTGAATCCATTCTCAGGTCACAATTTATACAATGCAGAGATTTCCAAGTTCTTCACACAACATAAACATTCCGAGGAACGTAATGCCTATATCCTAATGCAGCGTATATTTCCATGGCAACAGAAGAATTACCTTGTCAAGACAGGAGTGCCTTTTGCCTTGTCTGATGTGGTCAGCGAGCTAGGAATCTACGGTGTCTATATAGGGTAAGTTTGAGTTTTCCTTATAAAGTAAAGGACCTTTTTCCATGCCTTCAGGCATATTAGGCAAATAGGGCTAGTCCTATATTTTATACAACAATCAGCATTCGGTGGGTGATATGGTCAGCATCATTCGGCCACCTTTACTTCCTAGGACTGTGTCTGGCACCCATTTAAGAATAGGTCAAGCTGGGAGTCAAGGTCACCAGGACCTGACCCCACAACCTTCCGATTCGCAGGCGAGCCTCTAGCTGCTACATTACGGTGGCTCCCTTGTAAGGTATGAAAAGTAAAGGACCTTTTCCATGCCTTGAGGTATATTAGGCAAATAGAGCTAGACCCCAGTACAAGGTACAAGGTACCCAATTAAGGTCAGGTCAAGCTGTGAGCCAAGGTCATTTTAAAAAAATGTACGGCTCCATCAGGACTTGACCCCATGACCTTCCGATTCGTAGGCGAGCCTCTAGCTGCTACAATACGGTGGCTCTCTTGTGAGGTACGCAAAGTAAAGGACTTTTTCCATGTAAGTGTGGGCATTTGGCATATGATGGCAAACTCATATTTTTACTCTTTCAGTACCAGACAACCCACTGCACGTTCATTGATTACCCTGTCGGTGGTACTGGTTTCTTAACCTCTTGTGTGCCATTCTTCTCTTGCATTAACTCATTATGTCTCATTTGTTACTTTAACTAGTTCTGTCTTTTAATCATATTTTTTAATTCCTTTACTTCGTAGGATTTTACCTGATATCTATTTCAGACTGGGTCAACTTGGGAGGCAAAGTCAGTTTTGAAAACAGATCTCACTCAGTGTGGATTTGAACCCAAGACCTTTGGGCTGGCAAGCGAGTTTCTGGTTGCTATGCTATCTCGGCTTCCTGAGATTTCCTGTTTCTTCACTTCCTCTTTTATTGCTTCAGGTGTTAAAAGAGATATAAGGTTCCATTTTGTGCACTTCTAGCCAACTCAGCCATAAACACATCATGCTGTTGTAGAGTTTCTCTGATGTTATCTTTCCATATTGTTCTTGGTCTACCTCTGCTCTACGTCCTTCTATGTTTTTTGGTGTAATCCTGGTATGGTAGGGCATTGCAAGGTATTTTTTCAGAGGGAGCAAACCATTTGATTTGCTGTCTTTGTATGTAAGTCAGAATTAGTTATGTCCTGACTTTTGCTCTAATGACCTCATTCCTGACGTTATCTCTTCCTAGCAATACTTATTTAGCATTGAAAAGACAAAAATGGGAGCAGCACCACCAGAAACAATCAAAATAAATAACACAAAAATAAAGGTGTCATTTTGGATATCCAAGAATTTTCACCTTAGCTTAGAAAATGGATAAGGAAATCAACATAGGATGTGCAAAGGTAAATCTGGGAGAATAGATAATCCTAATCCCATAAGAATTTTTTTTTGGGGGGGGGGGGGGGGGGGGGCACCATGCAACTACCAGTGTTAAACATAGATCCTGGCTACAGCTTATGAACTGAAAACATTGTTAAAATAATATTTTTCATAAGAATTGCCTGAATGACAAGGAGAGATAAAATTTTAAATGAACAAATTAGAAGAATACTAGGACTGAAAAAGCCATAAATTACATTAAGGAACTATGATTGAAATGGTTTGGCCATCTAAAAGGAATGCCCTGGTAGAGGTCTGTTGAATAAATATAATGAGCACATAGCAAGGGGAAGAACATGTAAAATGTGGAATAATTCTATCAAGAACAACAAGAAGAAATCAAAAACAACTTACCAGCAAATTAAAAAAGGAACCAGATCTCTAAATTTCCCCTAAAACTTAAGTGCAGTAATTGAAGGAGGAGAAGACTGACTTTATTCTTTGTTTGGTGTGACTCTGCTGTGTTTATATTTGGTAAAGTTGAGCTTTTTCTGTCTTGTTTCGTATGAGTCTGCACTGTTTTACAAGATTGATATCCCTTTGTGATAAGCAATTTTTGGTTATTTAAAGCCCCACTCTGGCTCTTGCCAGGGGCCGCAATATAGCCCGGCCATAAATATGGTCTAATGGCTAAACACGGTTTCTGGGACCTCTCCACGGGTGATCCTTATCCACATAGTGGCACATTGTTTCATTGGATGTTTATCGCTTGTGTGATGTCCTGGTGGGGTAAAAGAAGATAGATAGAGACAACATTGTTTTGACTGCAGTGTTAAGGCAGCAATATCTAAATGGTAATGTTTAATGGCAGTATTTAAACTTTAGTGCTGAGGTTTACAACGATTAGACAGCAATGCAAAGTCTGCAGTGTTTAATTACTACATGTTTTGCATGACACTAAAACAAGTCAGTACTGCACGGAACTGACCCAAACTTGCTTCTCTAATTTCAGGTCAGGTGACAGGGAGATTGAGAACTATGAGTGTGGACATATGATGAGGACAAAAATAACTGGCACAGATGAAGGCGGCATAGTGGCAGGGTTCGCTGTGCTGGACACACCCTTTGTGCTCTGATAACTGCAACTCAGTTAGCCCATTTCTAACTTTTAGGACAGAAGAGCCAATGAATGTAAAATCTGACTAGGTCACTTGAAAAGTGAAGCCCCATTTTGGGGGTAAAAGAACAGACCACTGGCCCCCAATAGGTATGTCTTAAAAGAAAAGCTAATTTGGGATGGATTTGCTTATTTGCTGTTGTGTTAACTCTTTTTTAGTCCCAGAAGGTCCTAGCTATTAGCCAAGAGGGCAAGAATGGCAACACTAACTCATGGGTATACTATTTCCACAGGGCCAGATAATCGATCCCCGAAGGAAACACACATTTTGTCTTGAGTTAAAAAAAAAATTTTTAAGAATCTTTCACTAAACTTAAAATATAAAGCTTAGATAACTCACTGAGTCGTACACATGAATAATATCCGGCCACACATAGTCCATTACTTAGGACACAATGAGTTAAAAGGCACTGATATCGCAGCCTAGCTGTAAACCACACTACATCATGAAAACTGCCCTATTAAGGGTAAATGTAGAAGAAGTTTAACAAAGGCTTCGGTCGAATTGCTTAAAAAAATTTTTTTTTTTAAAATTATTAATTGCTTACTTTACCTTTGTTTTTTATATGTTGACAAAGACTTATTTGAAAGGTTATTTATTGTGTCATTCATTTGTTGAGTTTTCCAGCCACATTTCACATTTATCAATTTTTGACAGGAATTCAGTATTAGTCACCTCCTTTGTCACTGTTCTGAAGATGAAAGTAAACGATAAGAATACCCTGGACAGATAAAAAGATAATATAGATACCTTAAAAGAAACTGGCTGATCAAGAGAACTGATTGCCCAGATAAGAAGGAAAGAATCTACATTCTTTGGTCATGTGATGAGGAGAAGAAACCTGGATTACATCATGACGGTAGGAGAGGCAGAGGGAAACTGAGAGAATAGATGCTGGATGGTTTGACATGATGGCATGGAAGATCATCTGTATCAGAGTTGACTGCAAGTACACGAGACAGAAGGGTGACATGACTACCAATGCCACCCACACAGCATGGACTTTTAGAAGAAGAAAAACTTGTCCCAGAATCTCGTAAAATTGACAGCCAGTTTGTTATTGATACAACTAATCATTATTGTTGACACGTGTGGCTTAGTCGTTATGAATGTGTTCCCATAATTCTGACATATTGGATTCAATCTAGCTGTAGTTGGCTTGGAAGCCTATTACTTTGTAAGGATTTACACAATGGCATGAAGCAATGGGTACAGAAAAAAATATAAAAGCACCTAATAAAACAAGGCAACAGCAGCCAATAAATACTAAGCTTAGTTGATTAAGTCTTGTTAAAAGGATACTCTTCAGTAGCCAGTATCCCTGTGTGGGTTTCGGGTCCCACTGTGAGAGGGGGAGGGGAACTGCCTCCCTAACAAGTACGTCGTAAAATTCACTAATTAGAGCTGTTTTATTTGAAGCTGGTATGCATCTGCCTGAGTTGAGTCAAGAATTGACATCACAGCACTCGGGGCATTCCCATATAAGCTCCAGTTGCCAGTCCTAGTCTGGTTGTATGTCCGTCTTGCCTTTCCTCTGAGTGTAGTGTGCCCGCCGAACCCTGTGGTCACACCCAGGTGCATCATTCACTCCAGCCCATAATAATCTTGCATCTGCCTGAGACAGTGAACTAGTGTTCTGGGTATAAATAAGCCAGATCTGTAAAAACACACCTGCATGCAAAACCCAAGGTTCTGGAACAAGACTAGTGACCAGAAGTGGACAAACAACCAGAATTTATAGCCAGTGAATGCTGAGAAGAAGAAGTAGCTAGTATATATTTTATTAGTTATGTTTCAGTAGGGTGGCTGTGGAATCCCATCATGAGGCATACTGAATAAATGGGAAAAGTAAAAAAATACAGGAAACGTTTCTACACAGTGAAGCTTATGGGTGAATGGTGTTCACTTCTTTTTTTTTTAAAAACCAGTGACCACTCAGTCGATCATTTTGTGAACATCATGCAAGCCTCATTTAACACCCAGAAAGTTTCCTCGTACCCATTTTTAGGCTTGATTGGCCTGAAATTTCAAGTGAGTATTAAAAAAAAGATTGTTATCCCTAACTTTGATGACAACTAATGAAGGGACAACGCCAGTTTCATAGAGAATAAATCCAACCTGGGCTCTGGGGAAGCCACATTTCTTTAGTATGCTTTGGCTAAAATATAACCCGGCTACTGGGAAAGCCAGATTTCTTTAGTATGCTCTGATCAAATGATAAACAACGCATTATGTGATGGGTGGGATTCTTGGTGAAGAACCAATCAAACATGAAGTGTTGCTTGGGAATGAAAGCATTAAAGGGTGTTAGAGAAGTGCCTTCAGCTGTAAGTTAACTGTTATTGTAATCAGTAGACATTGTATTATGTATCTTGATAGACAATGTAAGTTTTCCATTATTTGTATTTAATCTTTATAAATCAGTAGACTTTATTTCTGTTGCCATACCATTTATAGTAATCAGATTTTTTGTAGCTTTGTATATCATTTTAAGTTTGTTTTGTTGTGTACAGCCATTTGTCTCTTTTATGCACCAGTAAATTGAGACAGATGTGAGAAAAAGTTCATAAAAATCATAGGGCACTCAAATAAACAATATAGTTTGAGAAGACTCATGCTGTGTATAATTTATAAACTTTATTCAGATTTACTGATCATTTCTACCATATACTTTACTATAAGGTTTGGATTACTAATGAAATCTCACTGTCTATTTCATTTAGTACACAATGAAGTTATATTATGAACCGGAAGAGATGTTGTTTGTACATATACCTTAAAGAAGAAATTCCATTGCCTTCAGGCGTATTGTGCATATAGGAATATCCCTATATTTTATAGACTAATTGGCACATGTGATGAGGTCAGCAACTTACAGGCCACCTTTACTTCCTAGGACTGCACTTGGCACCCACTCAAAGATGGGTCAACCTGGAAGCCAAGGCATTTAAAAAAAAAAAAGTCTGGCTCTCTCAGGACCAGAAACCACAACCTTCCGATCAGCAGGTGAGCATCTAGCCACTACACCACAGTCACTCCCACACATACAGTAGCAAGCAAGAAAGTAAAGAGCCTGTTTAATGTCAGTGACACATCAGACAACTTGCACTTTTTCTTCTTATGCATTCACTCAATGGGAATTCCCAAACAAATCTTAAAACAACAACAATTTTACATGGGTCACTAATACATAAAAAAAAAATTCTCTATCTACATTTTACCTTTTTTTCTCTCCAAAATATATAAAGATAAATCAAGGAAGCAATCAGTAAACATGAACAGTATGAGCATTAAATAAAATACATTCCGTCGGCCTAACAGAGAATATACATTGGGTGATTCATGCCGTGACTCCCGGACTCCATCACTGAGGCTTATAGGAAAATGTGATGTCAGCTTGGCTTTAAAAATCTATTTGGTTCAGGGAAACCCCCCTAAATGCTATTTTTAGCTACTGTTCATATCTTGACCTATTAAACCTTTATGCAGGCATAAACTCAGCCAATCGCATTAACTGTGAATCTCGTGAAAAGGTCTCTCTAGACAAGTCAGAAAAGTGACTTTTATGGGGTATGCCACCCGACTGGAAGCATCAGTTTTGCAGCTTCTCTGGGCAGCAGGGTTTAAAGGGTGGTTGGCAGGTTGTGTTGCACAACACACCCAGGATGTGACATCTACACCTTTCAGCCTAATGAATCTAATTTCAGCAAACAATTAGCCACGTTTTATGAGATGTTTGTTAGAAGCCAGTAGGTCTATTCTTCTACTCTCCCCTTTTTCACATTGGGGCCTCAGAACTCACATCGGGAAACTCACACCAAAGCCTTTGTTCATGACTGACTGGATTTTTGCAGTTGATGTTTTCTATGGGGCCAAGTAGTCGGGTTCTACTCTGACCTTCTTCAGTTATTTCTGTTGTATGCATGGTGGGTTAGAGGGGTACTGAAATGGCTGGAAGAAATGCATTGACATCCAACATGATCTGAACATCGAGGAGAATCGACTCCCAAACAGCATCGTCCTGAAAGATGAGATGTTTTGGCCACGCTAAATGCCATGGTGGCCTGGAGAGAATGGTATTGAAAGGTGCAGTTTCCGGAAAGCAAGGCAGAGGTAAACTTCCGTGAAGAAACTAAAGATGCATTAGCTATGAAAGCACATAGGGCTGAGGAATTGGCTAGAGAAAGAAAGACTTTTAAGGCATGCCGTAGATGAGCCAGACCTACAAGATGGTGGTCTAGATGGCAGAGAGACACAATGGAGTTATCTGGCCCTAGACCACGAGCTAGACCTACAAGATAGTGGTCTAGATGACAGAGAGACACCAGAGAGCTGACTGGTTTAAGACCATGAGCTAGACCTACAAAATGGTGGTCTAGATGACAGCGAGACACAAAGGAGTTGACTGGCCCAAGACGAGCCAGACCTACAAAATGATGGTCTAGATGACAGCGAGACACAAAGGAGTTGACTGGCCCAAGACCACAAGCCATACCTACAAGACTGGAGAGATACTATACATGCAGACCTACAAAAACTTAAGAGTCACCAACTGGAAAGGCTATTCACAGAGACCAATGGAAGTGGATGAAATCTGCAGCCATGAACCATAAGGTCTTAAAATGCAGAAAAAGAGGAAGAAGGTTACAGTGTTACTATTTATGGGCTTCACTAATATGCGGGATGGGACAAAATCTATTTTGTGACATATATATTCCCTATGGTAAATAAGCATAAGAGAAAATATGATCTATTTTGTGACATTTATATTCCCTATGGTAAATAAGCATAAAAGAAAATATGATCTATTTTGTGACATATATATTCCCTATGGTAAATAAGCATAAGAGAAAATATGATCTATTTTGTGACATATATATTCCCTATGGTAAATAAGCATAAGAGAAAATATGATCTATTTTGTGACATATATATTCCCTATGGTAAATAAGCATAAGAGAAAATATGATCTATTTTGTGACATATATATTCCCTATGGTAAATAAGCATAAGAGAAAATATGATCTATTTTGTGACATATATATTCCCTATGGTAAATAAGCATAAGAGAAAATATGATCTATTTTGTGACATATATAATCCCTATGGTAAATAAGCATAAGAGAAAATATGATCTATTTTGTGACATATATATTCCCTATGGTAAATAAGCATAAGAGAAAATATGATCTATTTTGTGACATATATATTCCCTATTGTAAATAAGCATAAGAGAAAATATGATCTATTTTGTGACATATATATTCCCTATGGTAAATAAGCATAAGAGAAAATATGATCTATTTTGTGACATATATATATTCCCTATGGTAAATAAGCATAAGAGAAAATATGATCTATTTTTTGACATATATATTCCCTATGGTAAATAAGCATAAGAGAAAATATGATCTATTTTGTGACATATATATTCCCTTTGGTAAATAAGCATAAGAGAAAAAAGATAGAGGAGAATAAGGTAATGTTTACATGTAGATGGGACAAGGAAGATAAATTAAAAGATAGGATTTCCATGCTAGTTATGGGGCCCATGTCGTACAAGGCAACTAATTAATGTTTTGATGAAATTATATGCTCGGCCAAAAGGTGCAGATATTGGAGCCTAGATGTAAACCGTAACATGTTCTTTTAAGGCAAACACAGAAGCAGAGGTGATAGGAGAAAGTGATAAGATAGGAATGGTAAGAAAGAACTGAGGATCTACAGGGAGAAAAAAAGTGAGCCAATGGTATACCTAAGTATAATGTCAGCAGGATAGACATGGGGAAAAACCCTCTGTACATCGGTCTTTGGGATAAATAACATCATAATGATGATGATGGTGAATTGTTTTTATTTTCTTTACTTCCTTCAGGTGTCAGGGGAGATAAAAAGTTGAGCTTCCTGCTTGAATTCTTTAACAAAGCTCTTTAAAAAAAACTGATTTAGTCTCCACTACTAGTGGTATGGCATGGGAATAAAAAATAAAAGGTACAAATTAAAGAATATATGTTTACAAAAATGGGAATGTTAATCAGTAATACCTACAACAATGTCAGTACATTTTCACAATGGAAGACAAGTATGTAAGTTTTTGTAGAATTTTATTTTGAAATACATTTGTGCTTGTTAGGTTTTCATGGAATATGAATATCAAGATAAAGGCAATGATATTGTTACAGAGGATAATTTCATATAATATTTTCATATAATTTTGGTTATGTTGAAATACATGAGATTTTTTTTTACTTTATACTGGGTGGGGAGGCCGGGGGGGGGGGGGGGGGGGGTCCAAAGGAGTTAGACAATAAATCATGTGGGGAAATAACATCAAGAGATGAATGAACATCAATATTTTTGAAAATAAATATAAGACAGAGAGTGTAGAAAAACCTGTTACATAAATTCTTTTGTCTTCACCATGGAGATAGCACTTGAAATCAAGAAAGACAAAATCACACCTAAACAAACAAATGACAGACTGCAATAGTACTTTCCTCTGCTAAGTCCATACCACATTGTATTTTTACTCATGTCTATCTGCAGCCCTCTATCTTCAGTACTTTCAGTCATATCGGACACATATATTTCTTCACGTCATGATGCCAAACTGTCCTGCATCTTCCCATTTGGTCAAGGAAAAGAAAAGTGAAATATATATTCCTGGACAAAGCTTACTGGCTTATTACTATAAACTGCTAACAACACCAAATTTCATGTTGTTTGAGAAAAAGATTGACAATAAACCATAATTCATAAACATTTGTCAAATATAACAGGAAAACAATGATAAATTACAGCTGAAATTACAAAAACTTTGGACTGATCACAAAATAAATTAATTCTGTCAAGGCATGCTTTTTATTTCAGTACTTTAATTTTATAGGGCATATGAGAGCATTCTGAGGACATGCATCTTCCCTGTAGCAACATACAGATGTGAGTTGTGGACTTTCTTGAAGTCACTGGGGAATAAATATGGGCTTTTGATCTGAAATGCTATAGAAAGATTCTCTAAATACCATGGACTAAGAAAAAGAAATGATGAATCAAAAGAAAAAGTACCCCAAAAAAAAAAATATATATACAGATGGCGGTTTGCAAGAAAAGAGGAAAGAAAAGAAAAGAAATTACAGTTTTGTACAGAAAAAAAGAAGAAAAGATTTAGTGACATTCTAAAGGATATGAATATTGGCTTGTAAACAGCTTCTTGTCTTGGCAACTAAAATATTCCCGCCATATCAAGCGCCATGATGGACTGGAAGGAATAGTAGCAGAAGGATGGTGCCAGGAAAGAGGGTCAGAGGCTGACCAGCATGAAGTTGGGCACAGGATATAAGTGACACCTTGGGTAGGAAAGTGCATGAGGCAGGAAAGCTGGTGAAAGACCGAGTTTTTTTCAGGTAGGCTGTGATGAGAGCGACATTCTGCAAAGAACCTGCTACATGATGATGACTCAATCATTACAAAAATGCATTGGTTGAGGTATATAGAGAGAATACCAGATAACAGAGTTATGAGTTATGAGATTATCTTCATAGCCCTCCAGACACATCCATAGGCGCTCAGATTCCCCTCTCAACATATTCATCAGCGTTGTGCAGTTAACAGTACCAGTCCTATGTTGGTTAACAAGACTTCCTGTGCGTCCAGTGTGCTTCTTATGCTTGGCTGTGCCGATCTTAACTCCCAATTCCCGTATTCTTAGAAGTGATGTGGACATGTTGCTTCCAAAATCCTCAAACGTCCTATCTCTCTAAGGGCAACGACAATGTCGGCGTGAACCATGGGCCGGCCATCTTCAATTAATGCAGTGCCTGCCAGTCTATCAGCTCTCTCATTACCAACAATGCCTGCATGCCCTGGGACGAATATAATAGTAACTGCACACACAGGAGAATTTTGCAATGACTCAAGCCACTGTCTGCGTAACCAGCCTGCCTCGACCCGCCGGATCATACTCAAAGAATCACTCAGCACACACGCGCTGGAACAGTCCTGTGATCCCAGCCACATGAAAGCCTGTGTCACCGTCATCGTCATGCTGCTGGTGGTCATGGAAAAGGCACCGCTGGCTTCCTTAACTATTCTGCCTGAAGAGCGAGCTGTAAATGCCCATGCACTCTTATGTTCTCATATAACAGACCTGTCTGAAGATCACCACATCTGTCTCATCTGACTTGTCACTGATAAGCGCGCATACCTCAGAATTGACAGCAGCTGGATTCTGCTCCTGACAACTCCTATCGAGCATCACGACACAGGAGAATGTGAGATTGGGTGCTTTATACTCTGGTATCCACTCCTCACCTGGATGGATGTCTGTAAGGCTGCAAACCTGCATGATGACATCCTCTGTGCTCCCCAGCCATGATTTGCCCCTTTTAAGCCTATTGCCTTTTTTCTTGAAGAGCATGTGGTGCAAAGGGTGCTTCAGATCTGAGCTTATTTAGAGGTATGCACGAGCCATCCAGATCTTGATCTTGTAGTTCATGGTAGGGAAGTCAAGAAGGTACCTCATTGCTACACAAGAGGTGTCTCCAGTGCACCCTAGAACAATGCACATTGCTTCATTTTGCACCTTCTCAAGTCTTTCAATCTGAATATGGCTGACAGTGAGGATGGCAAGAGCATATTCGATGGGAGAAAGAACAAGTCCCTGGAACAGAAACAGTCTCTGCTCAGTGTTAGCAGCAGCCAGGACCCTCATTGCTGACAGGCCTTTGCGTGCTTTTGTTATGCCATGGTCAGCACGTTCTTTGAAGGATAGGCTGCGATAAAACTTCACTCCAAGGTATGTGGATCTTATCTGTCTACTTTTTTCTGTGAGTGCAAACCAATCAACACAGGTCAGTGTGTTTGTTACAGTCGAGTCAACTTAAGTCAAACTCGGATTAGTCAAATTTCCGTTAAGTCGATATGACCAGCTTAGTCCTGGCAATTTTCTCTATTATGTGTGCTGTCTGGATAAATAGAAATCCTGATAAGTGAAAGCATTTTCTTAGGTCCCTGCGACTTCTACTTATCCAGGTTCGACTGTATAATGTGTCTATAGCCTTAAGGATTCCCAGGCTGTTTATTTCTAATGTGGAAAAAAGAACATTTAATAAATGAGCGGTTGAACTAATGGTTCTATAGTAAAGATGTGACTTCCTGTACATTGTATGTAAACAAGATTTACTCCCATTAGTTTCTGGAATTCATCCCATTAGTTTAGTCAAAGTTAACCATCCCAGAGTCACTGATACCCAGTTTTTTCTGCAAGTTCACCACATTTTTCTGGAAGTCTTCTTCTATGTTGTTCAGTTTCTGCTCATCTTTGGCATACTCATCAATGAAAGCTGGACGCCGTTGGAATGCAGACTTTGCCCGAACAGCAACCGGAGGTTTATCTGCAGGAGAGCTTGGAATCTCATTGTCACTGTGATCATGATCAACAGTAACATCTTCATTACCTTTGTCTTCATGAAGCTCTTTCTTCTTGTTCATCTCATCATTTGGATCATCTTCAGAATAACCAACTGCCACTGTAGAAGATGTGGGTTTGCTAGATGCACTAATAACATCAGTCAGAGATACAGTCAGTACTTTGGAATGGCCAGGTACTCTTGTATTCAATCCACCAGCAGAACTTCCCCTGTGTTTAGCTGATCTGGGTTTGCTGTCGACTGGGTGTACTGTTTCATATTTTAATGGCCTTTCACCCTTTTGTGTAACGAATACTACAGATAGAGAAGAAATAACGAAAATAAGATTAGTTACAGGCACTTGATGATGATGGAAATGCTAACAGCAAAGTGGGTATAAAGTGGGTATCTACACGGCCACCCAACCACATTATGTTTTGGCCTAGAGCAGGGCTATTCAACTAAGTTTGCTCAGCGACTAAACAGTTTGGAAATAGAGATTGTCATGGGCCAGAGGTCCAAGCACCAGCATATGAAGATATTTAATACAATACAATTGGCAATGATCCGTGGGCCATTTGCTAGGCCTCCCATGCCGCTAGTTGAATAGACCTGGCCTAGAATATGTGAATACCTATTACTTAACACATCAACGGCAATATCTGCCACCGGACTACTGTTATCTTTTCACCTATAGTAACCTTACGCCTTTGCTCATTTTGTTTTTTAAATAAAGAAGAGTTACGTCTGTTTAATGGTTCATAGACTTTCTTCTTCGTCTGACCTTTATCCTCCAGTGGAGCATAGGCTCAAACAACTCACGCCAAGTTGTCCTATTCTTTTTTTTATCATGCACAGATCACTACAAGTCTTCCTCATCTTTTTAACTTCACTCTCTAGTTGTTTTATCTATGTGTATATTGTTCTACCTTTATTTTTATGCCTTTGTGGGTTCCAATTTAAAGCTTTTTTAGTTATTTTGCTCTCAGGTTATCTCAATGTGTGTTCTATCGAACACCAGCATCTTTTTCTCACCTTTTGATTCATTGAAATGTGTTTATTTAAAAAAAAAAAAGTAAAGTAAAGGACCCTTTTCCACGCCTTTAGGCGTATAGGGCATATAGGGCTAGACCTATATTTTTATAGACCAATCGGCACAAGATGGGTGATGTGGTCAGCATCACGCCAGCCGCCTTTACTTCCTGGGACTGCACCCGGTACCCACTCAAGGCTGGGTCGACCTGGGAGCCAAGGTCATTTTTGAAAATAGTCCGGCTCCACCAGGGAGAGAACCCACGACCTTCCGATCCGCGGCGAGCGTCTAGCCGCTCGGCCACGGCGACTTGTGTTTATTTAGTGGAGGAAAAAAAAACATTTTATTATAATTGCAGATCTAGTGTAGAATCAACACCAAATTTGTCACAATACTCTGTGAATTAAAACAAGTGTATATTTTAACTGATGATGATTTTCTTAAAAGACAACATAACCGAGTCTGATATTTAAGGGAATATATTGTGTAATCTATTATGTAAACTATTATGTAGTCAAACATGTGAAGAAGGTGGAATATTACAAACCTGGTTTTCTACTCTGATCTGCCAGATGTTTTTTAACATTGCTGCCACTTCGTGGTCTTGATCGAATGATGTCCCCAGCTCTCAGACTTGATGCACTCACAGCTCGAGGCTCCTTGATGCCGTCATTTTCATTCAGTGCAAACACGTTTCCCTGTAATGGATTGGTGTCACTGAGCATGCGTTTTAGAATACTGACTGCAATATTAATAACTGCCTTACTGATTTAGAAATATATTTATACAATTGTAGGTACTGCAGGCTCTGTGATTAATACACTCACGACAAACTCTCCATGACAAGGTGAGATAACTGCATTGAAATCTTTTATTCTTCTTCTTTTTCTTCTTCTTTACATCCTCTTTTTCTGCTTCAGATGTCAAGGGAGATATAAGGTCCTGCTTCGTGCTTTTCTGACTGCTTCGACCATAGAGAGCTTCTTTGACTTATATTCCCATCTTGTTCTTGGTCTACTTCTTGCTCTACGTCCCTCACCTTGTTAATTAAAGAGAGAAAATACAGTCTGAATAACCTCACCTGAGAATATCTTGCCGGATCATTGTAAGTGTTTGGTGGCAGACGTCTGTGTGGAAGTGATGACAGGGGCCGCCTGTAAGCATTTGCTGATGGTTTTAGAATTCGAGGCTCAGCCAGTGTCTATGAAACATGAAAACAATCACTCAGCTAGTGTCTATAAAACATGAAAACAATCACTCAGCTAGTGCCTATAAAACATGAAAACAATCACAAAAGATAAGTAAGTGGGGGGCACTGCATCTACCCCCCTCCCTCCCTTCCCTCAAAAACTTGGGCCCCAGAACCCACACAAGGAATGCTATGATTTGACTGTGTTGACTAGCCAAGCTCAGTTATTGACCCTGCTCCAAAATATAGATCAGGAAAGGTCAGATCATCCGGCTTCGGCTAGCTAACAGCAGGCTGAACTAGGTTGTGTTTTTTTTTCTAGAACAGATCATCCTGTAGCATATACTGCCATGAGATTTGGTAGCTAGTTTCCTTCCGCATCATCTCTCCTTACTAGAAAGTGTTTTCTCTCACTCTTGTTTTTTTAAAACTCCAATAACTCCTTTTATTGGTTCTGTGCCCCACTGGAAAGGGGTAGGGAACAGAACCACTATCCCTTTAAAAGCATGTCGTAAAAGCCGATTAATTAGGACTTAAATTTAGTGTTTTGCACAAAAATGTGTAGGTATCACAATCTAGCTGCAAACCACACTTTATTAAAACTGCCCATTTAAAGGCAAACACAGAAGAAGAAGAAAAAGAAAAAGAAGAAGAAGAAGAAGAAGAAGCAGAAGAAGAAGAAGCAGAAGAAGAAGAAGCAGAAGAAGAAGAAAAAAGAACTCTGACAACAAGCACAACATGACTGATATAACCTGCCTGATCAAGAAATACTGGACTACTCGGAGGATTACCCCCAACAATATCACGAAGTGACAGTTCTAGATTTACAAATGCATTGTGGGTAGGGACTTTCCTTCTCTGGCCTGCAGACTGCACCTGTCTGAATGTACCTGCAGCACCTGATCCTACTGCCTGCAAAGCCTTGAAATACACAACAAACATAATAAAGTTAAAACATTAGATATTTTATTATTTTAAATCAGAAGAGAACTACTTTTTTCCTGCTCCCATAAAAAAAAAAATTGTTTCATCATTATTACCACCATAATATTCTTTGTCTTCTTCTCATCCTCCTCTACCTTCTTTTTCTCCTTCTTTTCCTCATCTACACTCGCTGTGGGATTGTTAACACATACAAATTATATATTCTGCTTCCTGTTTTTTCATTATGGAGAAAAATTAATTAGATATTTGACTTGACAACCCCAAAAAGTTATACCTATCCTGCAGTTTTTGAGTCAGAGGTGACCAATGAAATCTCTAAGCTTTGTATGCCACCATGTGTTTGCCTGAATTTATGTAATGCAGATGAATTCCTTTTTAAAATTTTAACACTATCACCCTGTTTTTATTTTGTGCTAATAATTTGTGTCCACTAAGGGAAGTAAGTAATCATCGTCATCATCATAAACCACTTCTGCTGTTAAGCTTTGTGGGCGGGGAGAGGGGTATTTACGATCCAGTGCATGTTGGCTGCCACTGGCTATTGTCATGCCGTGAAGGCGTAGAGTGTCTTCAATGTTGTCGATCCATGTTTTCTGCAGCCGTCCTCTTGCTCTTGTAGCTGATCTTCTGAGATGTAGTGCTTGTGATGGTATTTGATCTTGCTGCATTCTAACAAGATGGCCAAACCAATTGATCTGCTGTTTCTCGATGAATCTAGTACAAGGTGTCGTTCACAATTTGCCTGAGTTTCCTTATTCACTCGATCTCGGATGGTTTGGTTGGCTGCTTTTCTCAGGCACCTCATCTCGCAGGTGGTGATTTTGCGTGTATGGGCTTTTGATAGTGTCCATGTTTGGCACTGGTAGCTTAATGTTGGAATGAATATGCTATTAATAATCTGCTCTTTGCACTCATAGTTATGCTTGGATGTCTTAATAATGGTGACAATAATTAAAAAATAAACATAAATAAAACAGAAAAAAATTTACCGCTTTCCTTCTCTCTGACCATGAAACAGTTATTTTGTAGATATGGTCATGTGGTTGAAAGTGACATCATTATGACAACTTTATAAGTCAGAATAATTAAACCAAAAAAAAAAAAAAAAAAAAAATCTTTTTTTTTTTCACATTTAAAAATTGAATCTCAAATTTTCTTGAAGCAAATATAATCATACACACCACTAACCACTGCCTAAAGAGTTTTTATCTAAGCCGTCCCCTCGTGGTATGAAATTTTTGTTGCTATTTTGAAGCACAACTCTGGCTTTTTTCTTAGATGGAAAATACTTGCATGTTGCTTGCTGCTGAGTCTGCAGTATCCGGTTGGTTCTTAGATAGAAAATTGTTCTAAGTTGTTGGAATTCAGATCTAATGCAAGACTGCCGATCGTGTCAGATGATGAGCCGTGACCCTTTGTCAGTATAGCACATGATAATTATCATGATGATAGCAGGTGTAAGTTAAGAATTATTAATCCTGTTGTCCCAAGAGATACCTTTTTTGCGCATTTTTAATGACATGATGTCTTTAGGTAGGTAGGTAGTTGTACCCCACCAGGACATCACACAAGCGATAAACACCCGGTGACACAAAGTGACACCATGCGGATGAGGATCACTCGTGGATAGGTCCCAGAAACTTCTTTCAGCCGTTAGGCCATATCTATGGCTAGGCCATATTTATAACCTGGCTATATTCAGGACCACCTGCAAAAGCCAGGGTGGGGCTTCAAAATAACATAAAATTGCATCCTTCGAGGGGACGACAATAGATAAAACAAGAAGAAGAAGAAATTGTTGATACTGTGGTATGCCCAGAGGTGCACAAATAATTTAGAACATAACAATCAAATAAGTTTTCTTGGGTGTCTCCATGGTCAAGCTGTTTGCCTAGCATTCTGTAGGTTGTTGGTTCATTTCAAAGCCAAGTCATTCAGTTCAAGTGCCGTTTTTATAGAGATCCCTGGGGACCACTGCTGGAGCTACAGGATTCGTATTTTGTGCAATACTCTCAGCAAGTGGACAGCCATTATGTGGAGGGAGATCAAATGATATGGGGTAATCTGGTGCAAGAAAGTTAATCATCTGTACTTTAACTACATGCTCAACTAGATTTTGAAAACAAACCTTGTTATATCGAATGAACTTTGAGTCTGTTTCCTCCATCATGTCAGCTAGATCGCTTTTACGGTGCAGGGCAGTTCTGGACATAGTTTGCTGATGATCTTGAAGTACAGCATCCATGTAAGCTTGTCTACTTTCAAAATGTCGTTGCTGATATTCTCTAATCTCTCTCTGAACCGACAGATACTCTTTGTTCAACAGCTTTATTGTGAGGCGCTCCCAGTGTTTCTCACATCTTGTCTGTTTAAAAAATTGTCAAAAATATCAGTTATTTCATAATATCTTGTTAGTCATGCAATAACATACACATACGAAACATTGTGCAACCACTGCCCATTCCAGCATCTTCTTCTTCGATCCTTCTGTCAGAAAATCTTATATCAGTAGCCTTGATGAAAGCTATCCTTCAGTCTAAATCTCCTAGTGTGCCTATAACTTTGTTTTGAATGAAGTTGGCACAGGCCAAATGGACTCTCTGTTAACAGCACACAGCTGATACTGTTGGAGCACACGCTCAGCATTTTCAGGTTCCAAGTTGCAGGGACACACCTCTGTGTTTACGATACTGAAAAACTTGAACATATGTTGGCAAAGTCTGCTGTCCTTAGTCTGAAAATAATATGCTGACCATCTCTTGAGAGGCGATGAAGCGAGTCTTGGGGTGAAAATGTGTTGTGGGTATCCAGCCACCTTTCTTGGATTATAATCAAGTGCCTTGCCAACTGGCGTGGGCAACCCTGTCCTCCACAATCCACAATCTGCAACTGAATGTATCAGTTCATGTGCTCTTCACTAAAAGTGCCTGGTTTCTTTAACAGAGCAATATATTTTAATAGGTCATTAGGAATATACCCACTATTATAAATATCATTTAATAATTTTTTTATTATTTCAATTCCAAAATATCTTGAAGCTTCAATTTCTTCCAATGCGATATTGTCTGGCTCAGGTACCTTTACTTTCTTAATGTGATGCAATGCATCCTCAACTTCTGAAGCCAGTATTGGTGGGCGTTTAGCGTTGTCCTGCAAATACTGTATACTTCTGGTCTATTATCATAATACAGATCTCCCAAGTATTCTGTCCATTTTTTATTTATGTCACTTTGCCCAATTAATATTTCACCTTCTTTCCATTTTAAACACCCAGTGATGTTACAACTGTTCTTCCCTGTTAATATACTTATCCGCTGGTGCATGGAATGTGAGTCTTTCCTGTGATTTTTCCCAATCTCTGTGCACATCTGATACAGACAAGTTTCTTTAGCCTCTTTGCATTTGTTCACTATTTCTTTTAGCATTAAGGGTCAGGACAAGATCACAAACACTGAGGTATTAGACAGAGCAGGTACTACAAAAGTCTTCTCAATGCTCAGTCTACAAAGACTCAGGCGGCTGGGTCACACCTGGAGAATGGAGGATGGCAGAGTCCTTAAGGACATCCTTTATGGTGAATTAAAGATGGGTAGAAGATGTTGAGGCCGACCTCTACTACGATATAAAGACGTGTACAAGCAGGACATAAATGATACAGGTATTGAGGTGGACTTGTGGGAACAAAATGCCCTTGACCATGTTGTGTGGAGGAGGCACATAAGGAAGGGAATGAGAATGAATGAAGAAATGACCGCAGAAAGGATGAGTTCTGAGTGTCTGAGAAGAAGCAGACTAAACACAAATGTTCACAACAATGGTCCTGAAATCCCATGCTATCATTGTGGAAGACTTTTCTTGACACAGGCAGGTCTTGCTAGTCACACTCGCCATCGCCATGGGCTGTGAGTCCCATGCCTCCTCAGAGCGCAATATAACACTATCGTCTGGAAAGACAGAAAGGTGCCAATCACCATTTCTTTATGTGTACTAGAATATTCCTCTTTGTCATTCTTTTACTTTCTTCTATCATCCATCGTCTGCAGAATTTTATTTGTTATTTCTTGTATACTAGTTTTTAATTAATGTCTTAGCAGACTACTTTAAAAGAGGAAACACACAAACACAACTTCTCACAATTATCATGATTTGATTTGATTTGATTCAAGAACCAACATCACAGCACTCAGGGCATTCCCATAAGCCTCCGTCCCCATCTTCAGCAGCCAGTGAAGAGTTCCGATACTAATGGTGCCAGTAGCATTCTGATTAAACGTCCGACTTGCCTTTCCTCTTAGCTTCGAGCATCTGCCAGAACCTCTCGTCACTCCCCCCTGCATCAATCTCACCACACTGTGGTGATCAATCTGCTCCTCTGAACTGTACAAGCTCTCCCACAAGGCACTAACCACGTATCAGAAACAAACAATATTTTCAATGTTTCAATGGAGATGTGTTTTAGTGTGTGTTTTTAACACCAACTTGTTCAAATAAGGATGAGCCTTTTACACGTCCAGCAAACTAGTAGGAATTTATTTGTTCAACTGCTATTGCTTGAGAAATATGGAAGAAAGAGTTGGTTGACTGGGCAGTTCCTTTTCTCATTACCTTTTCTATCAATTTAATTCTTAAAAATATTTGGTTCCATCTTTTTTGAGATTAGACTGATCTGAATGCTATACTGGTAGGAAAAGAATGAATCCTACCACAGCTAGAGAACAATCCTGGACCACTTTCTTGTCAGGCAGGAGTACTAATTACTGAACTACCATGACCATTCACCATTATCATCAAGTGCCTCAACGAATGCCATGAGTGATCATGCCTTTCCACAATCTCCAATCTTCAACAGCATGTGTCAGTTCATATGTTGATATCCCTCCACATCATGACAAAAGGCTGTCAAGAATTGTCTTACATTATCTTCCTCTGTCTCTTTTTCCACAGATCTCTTCAGTAGCATAACCAATAGTACAGCATAATCTATACAGACGGATCCGTTATACGCCAAAGAAGAAGCGCATGGGAATTTACAGCACGCTCAGCGGGCAGAACAGTCAAAGAAGCCAACGGCTCGTTCTCCATGACAACCAGCAGCATGACGATGGAGGTGATGGCAGTGACGCAAGCGTTTGCCTGGCTTGAAACACAAAAATACACCCGCATATGTATACTCAGTGATTCAATGAGTATGATCCGGAGGGTTCAGGCAGGTTCAGTGCGAAGACAATGGCTTTAATCAATTCAGAAGTCCACTGTGCGTGGAGTCACCTTTATTTTTGTTCCGGGACACGCAGGCGTCGATTGAAATGAAAGAGCTGACAGGTTGGCTGGATCCGCTATCACTACCGACGGTCGACCTATGGATCATGCTGATATTATCAATGCCCTCAGAGAAATGGGAAGGATAGAGGACTTTGGTGGCAGTGAATCCACATCACTCGCCAGAATGGCAGACTTGGGAATTAAGATCGGCACAGCAAAAAACGAGACGCACACCGGACACATCAGAAGACTTGTTAATCAACATAGAACTGGTACTATTAGCCATCGGACGTTGGGATTCATACTGAGGGGAGGATCTGAGCACCTATGGACATGTCCGGAGTGCAATGATGATAACCCAACTAACTAACTAACTAACAGCATAATCTTATTACAGTGAACATACTTACCATTGTAGCTGGATACAACTGTGAATTTGGTCGAGCATCTTGGCCAGCACTCATAGACAAGTGTGGTGGAGGTTCCATACCTAAGGGAAAAAGTGTATATAGTGTCTAGGTTCTGAGCATGTAAAGGGTGGGAGTGTTAGATGATAATGACAATTAAAAATAATGATATGTGCATGTTAGTGGAGACAGTGCACACATAACTCTCAAGTTCTTGAACAAGACCAAAGTAAAGAAGTGGATGAACACCCAAACCTTTCCATCAGAGCTTACAGTTGGTTAGCGCTATTTAGAATAACACATTTTCTTTACATCATGTACTCTGTTGAATGATGAATTAAAAATCCATATCACAGAACTAGGGATACCCCCATAAGTGCTCCG